GGACTGACAACTGTTGAGTGTTGAAACTTCAACTCTGCTACCTATAGCTGTGTGATCTTGGGCAAGTTACTTAACCTTCCTGTACCTCAGGGCCACTCATCCCTAAAATTGGGCCAATGTTAGACCCCTCTTTCTGGGGTTTTGTGAAGATAGAGACATTTCATGGATGGCTCCACACACCTTACTGTGATGAGTATAGGTATATGCCATGTTCCACATCTAAGTGTGAGCTTATTCTGGTTGGAGAGACAGATGTTAGTTAAATAATCATACAAATATACAATCAGCTCACATGGACCCGGCCTTGTGTAAGGGATCAGAGAAAGCTGAGGAAGTGTGGCTTGAGCTCAGTACTGAAGGATGTTTGCATTTACTAGGTGGAACAGAGCAGCAAGGACATTCTGGTCCTGGCAGGGGACCTGATGTAAGCTTCTTTTTTTTCCCATACCAGGGATCAAACTCGGGTCCTTACACTTGCGCAGCAGGTAGGGAAACCACTGAGCTAAATCCCCTGGCCCTGGTGTAAACTTCTTGTGGTCCTCAGTTACAAGGGGGCTTTGGGACCCAGGCAAGGTGATACACATCTGTAATCCCAGCCCTCAGGAGGCTGAGGCAGGAACATTGCTTCAAGTTTAAGATCAGCCTGGGGTACATGGTGAGTTCAAGGCAGGGCTGGAATTCATGGTAAGACTCTGTCTCAAAAACAAAACAAAACAAAACAAAACAACCACAAACAAAGCCCAGAGAGGGCTTTGGATGAAAAACAGAGTCCCACAGAGCGTTTTGATGACCAGGAGCAGACCAGCAGTGAAACCCCATGTCCAGAGCTGGGTGGGCCGTGTTTAGGATCTTTACCCCTATTCTGAAAGCAGAGGGCAGTTGCTGCAGGGTTTTAAGCAGGGGAGGAGCGTGATCCAGTCATATTTCCCAAAGAACACTGGCTGCCGAGGAATGGCTAGGAGCAGAGCCACATGGATGCCATCAGGAGGCTTGAGCCATGCCTTTTCTGAGGATCTTGTCCACCAGACCTCCTTGGTGGGTGGCAGTGATCCCCTGCATGTGCAAATACAGGCACTCAGGACCACTGCACCTGAAGGATGGCAGTGGGAAATGCTGCAATGAGATTTATAAAGATGAATAAGCCCAGCTCCACTTTAGAAGCAATTTTTATTTCATTTGTTTTACTTGTTTGAGACAGGGTCTTGCTATGTACTTCAGGCTGCCCTTGAACTCACTGTGTAGCACAGGTTGGCTTCAAACTCACAAGGATACTCCTGCCTCAGCCTCCCAAGTGCTGGAATTACAGGTGTGCAGCACCACACCGGGCTTAAAAACAATTTTTAGGAAGTTCTTGAAGACTTAAGACTTCAATTTGGCTTGACTATGAATGTTATGTTTTGCCCATGACCTTTTGTTTTGTTGGAAATGATAAAATGAGAGGGACACAGACCTGCTTAGTGGTGATTGAATCATTTACTTTCCTCAGCCAGGTCTGGGTTTTTCTGTGAGCACAGGAAAGGTGCCAGCTCCACCCTCCAGGGACAGGATTGTCTACCTCTTTGATGGACTCTTTCATGGACTTGAGCCCTGGGCCGTTTTTACCCCAGGGCCGTTTTTACCCCAGAGGTGTCTATCAAATCTTGCCCAGCTCTTTTGTAAAGTTACTGGAATTAAACTAAAAGATAAAGAGTATGCTGCTGTTGCACATATACATCTTTTTCCTTGCCACTGTGGGTAAAATGTGATTTGTAGAAAAAGCCTGGACCCTAATAGTTCCACCTATGTGATGTTCTGAGCTTTGTAGACCAGGTTTTCTACCAGCTTCATCCATCCATCTGTTCATTAACCTGCCCACCCATTCACCCAGACAGGCCTAGGAACTAGCACCTGGAAAAAGAGGTGTGGACTCACTGAACATTGCTCTCCAGATGCAGGGGGAAATATGTTATTAAAAACAAAAAAGCCAGGCATGGTGGTGCATGCCTGTAATCTCAGGACTCAGGAGGCTGAGGCAGGAGGATCACTGCAAATTCTAGGCCAGCCTGGGCTACATAATGAGTTCAATGCCACCCTGCACTACATAGCGAGATCTTGTCTCAAAAAACCAAAACAAATAAACAAACAAAAACAAAAAACAAAAGAAGTAGCTATTTACAGTCCAATACTTATGTTTTGGTTTGCCACATAAGCCATGAAAGAAACTCCAAAGCCAAGTCCCTCCTTGCAAAAGCCCCTCTGAGACAATGCCACCAACTATCCAAGGCTACCATGGGTCCTGGGCCCTCAGCTTCATCCTAGTGGCTGAAATCACTTCTACGACATGAGGAACAGCAGGTGCTCAGCCTTAGGGTGTAGGCAGAGGGAGGGGAGCCCAGCCCTGAGATGTCACATGTGACATGTGGCACCAGAGGATTAACTGATCAAGGTGGCAGGATACTGGGGATCAGGTGAAGGTCTCAGAGTTTTTAATCTTCCCTCTGGAAATGAGAGAGCTGCAGAGTCTTGGATGATGTCAGTAACATCCCTCACTCAAACGGGACCCTCTAAGAGTGTGTCTAACTTCCAGATCTCCAACTCCAACGTGCTTAGAGGCCATTTGAAGCTATGAATAAGATTGTAGTTGCCCCTCTGCCTATGGTTGGTTTTTACCCCAGTCTTGCAAGTGAGCAGTTAAGTATTGGAAGCTGCACAAATTTCCAATCACCTGACCAAAGGTACAGAGGCAGGATAATAAAAGACAAGACAAGACCTTAATGCATAAATGGCAGGGGTGTGTGGGGGGGAGTCCAGGACACTCAAAGCTCTTATCAGGCTACAGCACTGTCTCCTGAAGCTTGCCACTATTTATTGAACACATAGCTTCCTGACAGGGTAAGGTGTGATGCAGGGAACAGTCCCGTGGAGAGAACTGATGTGAGCAGAGTCCTGGCAACAAGCGAATAAGACATTCTAGTAGGAACAGATCACTGATTAATGGGAAATTTGTTTTTTCCCATAGATTAATTTTTGCCTCAATAGAAGTTTTCTGTATGAGTCATGCTGCCCTTAGTTGCACTATTGTCTTGCCATCCAAGGTGTCACAGTGTCATGGATCACTGAGACCTCCACCATGACCAGCCCCATGGGAGTTGTTCCTTTCCCACACACCAACTGCTGGCTCTTCAGTCAAGGCATTGTGGGTTAACAGGCAGACTTGGAATTTTAATATAAAAAGCCAATTTATAAATTTGCAGCTTGCTCAGGGTGATCTCCATCAGTTAAAAAGCTGGCTTTAGCTGGGCATGGTGGTGCACGCCTATAATCCTAGCACTCGGGAGGCTGAGCCAGGAGGATTGCCATGAGTTTGACACTGGCCTAAACCACACAGTAAGTTTAAGGCCAGCCTGAACTACCTACATAGTGAGACTTTACCTGAAAAATAGAAAGTTGGACTTCATTTAGAAATATCTCTGTGACTGAAGAATAGATGGCATTCCAGGGACTTTCAGCTGTCCCCATCTGGGCTTTTCTCAGGATCTTGATGCCAGGAAAGTGGACAAGGCACTGGCCAGAAGATCTAATTTCTCTCCTGGGCCTTGGCCGAGTCCCTTAACTTCTGGCACTTGGTTTAACCTCATGTAGCCGACACTCTCTGATCCTCTAACAGTCAAGTTATAACAGAAGATTACAAATAGATGTTCCAACTACAGCATTCTCTCATTTCAACCCACGAATACAACCGTTTTTGTTACTTTTTGTATTTTAGTTTTAAATCTCCCCTCCCATACTAGATTAGAAACGCTTTGAAGCTGGATCCCTGCCTTGTACCTGTATATCTTGGTAGCTCCTAGAATGTGTAGCAGAGTACTTTTCACACGGTAGATACTTCGCAGATGTGTTTGCTTTCTTGATTATACACTTCATAGGGAGCCCTACACACAGCCTATTGATAACCAACAACTGCTGGTAGCCACCTAAGTAGCAGTAATTGACAGGTGGGGCGGTCAGCAAGTTGGCACCTGATGAATGGTGTGATATCATGGAATGAAAGCTAATTGCTTCTCTACCTGCAGTTCCTTTCTTAAGCATTGAAGGAAGAGTGTGACTTTAGGACAAAGGACTGACTTGTGTTCCTGCATGGCTGGATGCGGAAGCATGTCTGAGGTCACAGCTGTTTTCTAATTTCTGCCTTCATATTGACCATGGCAGTGGGAGTTGTATCATAACTGGTTACTACTGAACCAAAGTACTTCTGATCTGAATCACCCAGGTCATGTGATCTGCCAGGTCACTGGAGTTTGGGCTCCAACTTTGATATAAGATATTTTAATTTGGTGGTGGTGGTAGTTGTAGTGTGGGGGGGTGTATGTGTGTGTGTAGCCATTTTGTATTTGTGTGTGACTTAACACTACAGATGTTTTGGAAGTTGCTAAATTATTCACACGAAGTACTGAAGTTTTCATTTTTGTCAATGTAGTAACAACTTTAGGCTTCCAACTCTTACTGAATGTAAATTCTTATGGTGGTAGGATGTGGAACTTTTCTCAGCTTGTCTCTCAGCTCCAGGTTAACAGATTGAATGAAACTAAAAATTGAAGTAGCACAAGAAAAAAAATCAATATTATTGCACTGTCTACCCCAGAAATGGGAGCATAAAAACCATTGTGCGTTAGTGTGCAGTTAGAGAAGAGCCAGGTACAACGAGACTGCCAGCTCGAATTTTTTTCCATAGACAGAGTTAGAGTATGTGTGAGTCACATTCTCAACTAGAGGAGATATTTCGCTGCTGTCTTAAAATAGGGAAATAATCCTTCTGTGGGACTTAGAAAGGGCTGGAAGTTGGGAATTACATTTCTTCCTTTTTTTTTTTGGTACCGGGGATTGAACTCAGGACCATGCGCTTGCCAGGCAGGTGCTAAATCCCTGGCCCTGGAATTATGTTTCTTATTAGGAGTCTTCTTTAAGCCGTGCTATCACTTCATGGCCATTAGTAACTGATTGATTTTGTCTGTCTTCCATAGCTTGGAATTGCAATTGGGTTCTTGGTACCTCCTATTTTGGTACCCAATGTCAACGACCAGGACAAGCTTGCCTACCATATCAGCATCATGTTCTTCATCATAGGAGGTGTGGCCACTCTCCTCTTCATTCTGGTCATCATTGGTAAGGTCATTAGTAGACTGAGAGGTGGGAAGGGAGGTTCTGCTGCCTTTGTTGGGATCTTTGGGAACATGGCCCTCCAATACCATGGACTTTTACAGAAATTGGAAGCCGGGCTTCTTAGGGCCTTCCAATGTTTGAACCTCTGAAGTTTCATATAGCGCTAGCTGCCCTTTGTCAGTGGCTCAGTAAAGGTTTAATTGTAATTAAATTCTACTTCACCAGAACTGGGTAGAGTGCTGGTCCCTTTGATGAATCCCCAGTGAGGTCCCCCAGCATCATGGAACTGTGCTAAGAACACCTGATCTTATCTAGTCCTCAACAAGTCCACAAGTGAGCCAACATATTAGTCCCACTCACAAAGAAAAATGAGACCTGAGAGAAGTTATTAAAATTGCTCAAGACTAGTTAGATAGGTTAGACAATCTTGTTCAAGATTAGTTAGGGGCCAACTGGATTCAAATCTAAGCTTGTCTAATCCCATACTCTAAATTTCTAAAAGAAGAACAGAAATTTATCTATAAACACAAATAGTATCAGAGATTAAATGGAATACTCAGAGACTACATTTCTTAGATGCTTTTAAAAAGATTTATAAATGATACCTGCTTCTCTTAGATACTTTTCTCATTGCTGAGACAAAATACCTGATGCCCAAAGTTAAAGGGGGAAAGGTTTATTGTAGCTCACAGTTTGTAGAGGTTTCAATTCATAGTTGACTGGCTCTAAGGCAGGGTGGCATGGAAGAGGGGCATTGCAAGGAGAAACAGTTCATGGTGGGCAGAAGGCGCCAAGGTACCAAGCAGCAAAGTAGCAAAGCAGCCAGCAACAAGTGATGACAGCAACCCTCTTTTTGTCCAGGCTACATCCCCTTAGGGTGGATAGCACTTACATCTAGGGAAGGCCTTCCCATTACCCACACCCAGAACTATTCCAAATCAATCAGTGGACTAATTTAGTAATCATACACCCCCTAATCCCAGCACCACACACTTAATCCCAGCATCACCCACTGTAGATCCAGCCACCTCTGAAAAGCCCCACCTATGATTACATGAGGCATTGGGTGGCACATCTACACATAAGCCATAACACTGCTCATTATGGAAAAATCTAGAAAATTCTGAAAAGCAGAAGGAATGGCCATTAACTTATCCCTATACAAATTGATTGCAACCATCAATCTCAGATAACTGCTGTAATGTTTCATATACATGTACAGCTGATCATGGAGGCATTTGATCAATAGAATTTTATGTCTTCTCTTTTCACCTGAGTGATGTCATGTAGGTGTGGATAAATTCAGAAACAGCAAAATAGAGGTTTTCGTTTTCAGTTAGTCACCTGTCTAAAGGTTAACCAGTTTTTTCCTAATGCCTTAAAGTTCCATCTCTTGTGTTAAAAGTTTCATTCTTGCCTGCTGACCTTACCCTCAGAGTCAGACAGATCCGTAACCATGCACCTCATCTAAGTGTTCTCCCTCTGTGGTTCCCTGCCTGGATCCAGGACAAGAAAAGTCTGCCTGTTGCCTTTCAAAACCTGCAGAAGCCAAATGTGGTGGCACATACCTGTAATCCCAGCACTCAAGAGTCTGAGGCAGGAGGATTGCCTCAAGTTTGAGGCCAGCCTGGGCTACATAGTGAGTTCAAGTTTAGCCTAAACTACACAGTGAGACCCTGTCTCAAAAAAAAAAAAAAAGAAAGTAATAAAGAAATAAAATAAATAGTAATGTGGCCAGCTCCAAATTCTTTTTTTAAATAGCAGATGAGGGCCTGGTTCTTTACAATTGAAAACCTGGAAGTTAGGACATTTCTTTTGTTTCGGCATTTTATTATCAAGCACAGGTACTAGCTAATTGAGTAAAGAATGGAAAATCATATCTTCCCTCTGGTTTGTGGCTGCCAAATCTTTAAGACAGCCGCTACTGGCGCAGAGCTGGGACCCTGGCCTTGCTCTCTTTCCTAATGGAAGGGGAGGTGAGCTGGCAGGACAATGGTAGAGGGTTCCCAGTGGGTGGAAGTTCTGCAGCACTCTTTGCAGAGGAGGAGAAGGAGGAAGAGGAGGAGGAGGAGGGGGGTGGGAAACAGCTCTGAATTCAGACCTGGAGTGTTTTCAGGTGGGGGCCCCTTGGATCGGCTGAGAGGGTAAACCTCGTTTGCAGAGCTTCCTCTTTCAGAGATGGCCTATTGCCCTTCCAGGAGCCATCTCATGAGGAATGGGAGAGCCATATGCTGCTTTCTTAGCCTCAGTCCTGGGAGCCATTTAGCTGAATAACTACTTAAACTGTCCTGCCGCCAGAATACTGAATGGCCCTCCATGCAGTTGAAAGGATCACACCGGCTACACTGAAATAGCCCTAAAAGGAGTGGTTTCCCCACATCCCCTCTCTAGCTCTTTAGATCAGTGTTGGCTTAGAGGAACCCAGGTTGTTCTTGTCTCCTTTGTGAAGCAGATATCCAACTCAAAGTTGCCAAAATAGGAATGATCTCTGTACTTTTCCTATAGGAGAAGATCCTGTCCGCTTACTCAGGGAATGTTTCAGGGTCTGCCTTGTGCAGGACTCTGCTAAACATGGGCAACACAGCCCCAGCACCCTTGGAAGGAGTCCTGGAGCTAAGCCATTAACTGGGTCCACGATCCCCAAAGCTTCAGCTTCTGCTTCTTTTCCCTCCCTGTGGTGCTATTATATTTTTTCAGTGCTCTGTGGTGTGTTATTTGCTGTTTATTGTGGGACTCCTTGATCTTTGATCAGTGCCAGGGAAGGAAGCCCTGATTCCAGCCTTTTAGGGGCCATTAAGAAAAAGTAATCAAAGGACCACATGCTAAGCCTCAGAAAATGAGAAGCAGCTTCAGGAAAGGAGGCTGCCAAGTTCTAGCTGAAGAATTGTAAGGGTCAAGGGGAATGGATGTCGCTGGAGACACCTGCAGTAGGTCCCGGCCTCCTGTGAGCCACCATAGCACCAGCTAAAGGTTAAAGAATAGACGGAACGAGACTTATAGTGAAGCTGAGTCTTGGATCCTGGTCAGTGCTGCTGAGGGCACCAAAGACAAAGGCCCCCAAGCACACCTAGTATTTATTGAATACAATTGTGAGAAGGAATCGGGAGGTAGGGAGCTTTGAAGGCATCTAGTAAATTACTGCTGAACACCTGGCATGATGGTGCCAGGCAGGGCTGTTAGGGAGTCGGCACTGCTTATTTGGCTAGGATAGAAAAAAACAGTACTGGGACCAGGCACAATTAGCAAGCAACCCACAAGGTCAGTGAGAAATGATAATTCAGGGGAAAGGATTTTAACTGACCTCAGCTGCACGTAATTCAGAAGGGCCCTGCCACTTCACAGACCAGGACTTAGGCCTCAGTGACAGCCATTAGCAAAGGAGCAATACTAGCTGCTAGTATTGCCCAACTCTGCTAATTGACATGCGCTTTTGAGTCACACAGGGCTTCGGCCTGACTCCGGATATAAAACAGTAGAGCCAAATCAGGAAAGAAGCACATGTCATTCATAGTCCACTAGTACTGGGCAGGGATGTCTGCTACAAAGAATGAGGACCTGCTTTGGCATCTTAGCTCCTTCTGAGGTGATGCAGCTGTAGGTTGGCTGGAGTGGGACCACAGGACTTCTCAGTTACCTTCATTTCTTTCCTTTCAGTGTTCAAGGAGAAGCCTAAACACCCCCCTAGCAGGGCCCAGTCCCTAAGCTATGCCTTGACGTCCACTGATGCTTCATATTTCAGTTCCATTGTCCGGCTCTTCAAAAACCTCAACTTTGTGCTGCTTGTCATCACCTATGGTAAGGAGCAAAGGTGTCCCAGTGTGCCCTGGAACTGGGAACAGGAAATGCCCAGCCTAGTATGTCTCTGCGTCTTCCTCTTTCCAAGTCCCACATGTGTTCATGAAGTTGTTCAGGTTGTCAGAGGCCACCTTTGCCTAGGGGCCTTTGAATGAATGTGCTGTAAAGTCCACACTGGAAAGTCTTCCTTCCCATGTTGGGTTATCTAAGCAGTGCCAGTCGCTCCTCCACCTCCATCCTAGTGTCTCCTCTGTGAAGCATTACTAGGTGACCTTTCCTCTCCTACTTACTGTGCTATTATTTGAATGTCTTAATACTTACCGTTAAGAAACAAAACATTTCCAGTCTCCCCCCACTAGACTAAACTCGGGGAGCGGCGGTTCTGCTTGTGTAATGCCCTGCAGTGGCCAGCCCGAAGCAGATACTCTAGTAGTGATGGACAAATGAAGAAGTGAATAGATGGATGGATGCACATGTGAATGTCACCACATGAATCATCCTCCTCCAGTCCTCCCTCCTCTTGTAGCATTGATGCCCTTTCTTTTGCCTGAATGCAAAACAAATCCTCCTTTCCTTTCCTTTCATTTTCTTAACCTTTGGCAAGAGAAATTTGCATGCTTACGCTGGTGTATTAGCTTGCTTTGCTAGCATGATGTTTTCTGCATCTTCTTTCCAACTTTTTTCTTTTTCTTTTTGCAGTATTGGAGATTTAACCCTGGGCCCTTGCACTGAGATGCATCCCCAGCCCATTTTTTTTTTATTTTTAAAATTTTGAGACAGGATCTTGCTAAGTTCCCCAGGGTGGAATCATATTTGCAATCTCCTCCTGCCTCGGCCTCCAGAGTGCTAGGATTACAGGTATGCACCACCACACTGGGCTTCCAACCTTTAATAAGATGGTAGCATCAGAGAATGGCAAGATCAGAGCAACATGGCATTCCATTACAGCAAATCTGTCCTTTAGGTAAATACTTGTCTGTTAATTAGTGCTGTTCGTTTAGAAAGTTACAGATCCACCCAATTGGGCTGACCATTTAATCCACTGGTTAAAGTTAAAATTTAGAGTCAAGTAAGTGTGCAACATACTCAGTAACCCATGAAACAAAGGAAAGAGGTCGATTTGGAAAGGACTGTTTTTAGTGATCCATTTGACTATAATTTCATGCTTTCTATAGGCCCACAAACCATTATTTTATAACAATAGTATTTTAATTCCCACCACAGCCTAGTGAGGCAGCCTGAAACCCACTGATACTAGGTAACTAGACCTTGCTCATACATCTTTTAAGTGGCAGAGTTGGAACTTGAATTTGCCTAACTCTAAAGCCTGCATCCTTAAATACCTGTTCCATAATTACCTGTGTATTCTGTCTCATTTTAAGCTTATCAGTGCCCTTTTATCTTAAAGTGTTTATCTGCTGAGGCACTAGATAAGAGATGTTGGCCATCCTGGTGGAAAAGCAGACCTCACTGTTTTTTGAGACAAGCTCTTGCTGTGTAGTTCAGGCTGCTCTTGAACTATGTAATTTAGGCTGGCCTCCAACTCAGAGCAATCCTCCTGCCTCAGCTTTCCAAGTGCTGAAATTACAGATCTGTACCACCACACCCAGCAGTAAGCAGTCCTAACTTTTCCAGACATACACAGCAGCTAGTGACTTCCTCATCTGGAGTAGTTCTAGATTACCAGATTAGTTTTTAAAGTTTAAAAGTTTTTAAAGTTCCTCATTCCCTGCAGTTTCTCAGTTTTCTCTAAGTATCTATCTGTATTCATCTATAAAGTTTCTAGCACTTAGAGGCATCTGACTAAGGAAGTTATAAATGGCTCATCACAGGGATGCATTCAAGTATATACAGGACCAACTCTTAGTGTTGGGGTATGGAGGGAAATCTCAGGCTGTACAGACGGGGTTGAAGCCAGATGGCCTTTGAGGTCCTTTCCAGGCTCAGGATTCTATGACTTCAAGAACTTCTACTTTTCTCTAAAGTGAAATTTTCAAGTGCATTGAACTTTGACCACCACAGGCCTTACTGTATCAGACAACAGGGTGTGCAAGCCCTGCCTTGGGATTCTAGGGTGATAAGGGTTCAGCAAATGCTTCCTGTAGCTAAAGATTATAGGCACATTCCAGAGGCTTAGGTCTTCTGTGCTGGAGACTATTGATGGCAGGGCCAGATCCCTGACCATGAAAACCAGACAGCAGAACAAAATGCTCTCAGAGCAGCAGCATTGCTTCCAGTCACTGAGGATCTGATGCTAGGCTGCACCATGGTGGGCAAAGCAACTCCTTCTCTTTCCCTCTTATGTGGCTGGTGGCCTATATGATCCCCACCACACACACACACACACACACACACACACACACACACTAGGGATGGAAACCAGGGGCACTGTACCATTGAGTTGTATCTCTAGTCCTTTTTATTTTTTATTTTAAGACAGCATCTCACTACCTTGCCTAGGCTGATCTCAAACTTGTAATCCTCCTGCCTCAGCCTCTTGAGTAGCTGGAATTACAGGCATGTGTCACTATGCCTGGTGCTTATATGATCTTATAAAATCTGGCAGAGCAGTTTTAATCTTGGACTTCTGGACATTCTTCCTTAACTATTTGGTTAAATTATAACACAGGAAATAAATAAGAAACACTTCTTTAATGATGGAGGAAGGATCTTAGGAAACCTGCTGCCCTATAAAAGCAGCAGGAACAATGGCCAAAATAATTATTAAAATCAATATTTTCTATTTTGTTTGTTTGTTTTATGAGACAGGGTCTTACTATGTAGTTCAGGCTGGCTTTGAACTCACTTTGTAGCCCAGGGTGGCCTCTAACTCATGGTGATTCTCCCACCTCAGCCTACTGAGTATTGGAATCACAAGTGTGTGCTACCATCCCCAGCTTAAAATCAGTATTTTCAAAACTCTTAACCAAAGGCTTGCAACAATGCAAGTAATGTTTATTAATGAAAATTTGTTGAGTGTCACTAGGCATGGGGGTGCAAGCTTATAATCCCAGCACTGAAGAAGAGGGTCACGATGAGTTTGAGGCCAGTCTGGGCTATATAACAAGATTCTGTCTCAAAACAAAACAAAACAAAACAAAACTGTAAGAATTAAAAAAAATAAACTGAATAGCTTTAAACTAGAAATACACTTCACTTCTGGACCTCTCAAAGCATTTGACTCTGTTTCGCATAAACGGAATTTATTAGCATTTATCTCAGAAGCCTGGGAATATTCCAGTAGGAGCAAGTTACCTTGATTTGGATATTTATACAAATTTCATTACAGTCAAAGAACCATAAGAGAACTGGGCTAGGATGACAGAGCCCTTTGCTAACAAGGAAATGATTCTTAAGCTTCATCACAGATGTGAAAATGTTTTTGTATTAAGCCATTGCTGTGTGCCAGGCAGTGTGTTAAGTGCTTTACATGCATTATCTCACTTAATATTTCTCATTTATTCATAAGAATTCAAGATTGGGAGATTTAGTCCCATGCCAGCTGGCAAGTATGGAGTTCAGGTTCCATTTCTCTGATACAAAGCTCAGCTCCCAACCACTGCACCACTTTGCCTCCTATATGGAGAAGAGCCTCCTGGCTGCAGAGCCTGGGCTCTTAGCCCCTCTCTCCTGAGTTTCCCACTCCCTGGTGTGTGTCCTTCCTTGGATTCTGTCCTCCTGACCGGTAGCCTGGAGGCTGAGTACTTCTAAGGAGAGGACCTGGAGTGGTAGGGGCTTGGAAGCAGAGCCAGCATTCATCTTTGGGATGTGGAGGTGATGAGGGCTCATGTGTCCAAAGGTTATAGATCTCAGAAAGATGGCACTTGGGACCTAATACAAATGAGAATCTTTGCTTGCTTCTCCCATTGTCTTAGCTCCAAACAAAAACAAAACAAACCAAAAAAAAGCCCAATCTAAATTCAAACAGATGGTTAGTAATCCTCCACAATTGCCTCCTCCACCTGGGTTAGCTTTCCATTGCTTTGAGAGAAAATCTTGGAAAATCTTGGAACATCTTGGAAGGAAGAAAGAGATAGGGGGCCTCCGTGGAAGAGTGCCTGCCATCCCAGCGTGTATGTGACCTGGGCTTTATCCCTAGGACTGCAAAAAAGAAAAAAAAAAGGAAAAATCAAAAAGGAGGAAAGATTGATTTTGGTCACAGTTTCAGAGGTTCCAGTCCGTGGCTGCTCGCTCTGTTACTTTTGGGTTTGTGGCAGAGAAGAGCATCATGGTGGGGACTGCGTGGTGGAACAGAGTTACTCACCTCATGGCAGCTGGGATACAGAGAGGGAGAGGGAGGAAGAAGGAGGGAGGGGATGGCTGGGGCCCTATATCTTCTGTAAAGTGCACCCCAGTGGCTTTTCTTCCTCCCGTTATGTTCCACCTCCTAAAGTTTCCACCGCCTCCTGGGAGCACTACAGGCTGGCAACCAAGCCTTCAACACACCACCTTTGGGGGACATTTAAGATCTAAACTTCCAGGTGTGGTGGCACACCCATGCAATCCCAGCACTCAGGAGGCTGAGGCAGAAGGATCATTCCAAGTTCAGGGTCAGTTGGGAGTACATAGTGACTTCAAGGCCAGCCTGAACTGCATAGAGAGACCCTGTCTCATAAAAAGTAAATACTGAAAATCAAATAGAAATAAATAAGACACACATAGATGCATCCAAATTGCTGTTGCATCAGTGAACTTGCTGAGTCCCAGCATCCTTTGGTCTGAGCTAGATCTCCCTGAGTAAGGAGAAGCTCTGGGTCTGGGGACACTCTAGGGGTGCTTCCTATATTGTGCCTATCCTCTCCCCAGCTGTGCTCTGATACCTTTAGTGTGTCTGATGTGACCTCCAGGCTTGCTTCCCAGGGCTCTCAAGTGTGTTGTCATTACCCTACATATGTCGGCCTAGGGAGAAGCTTCTGGGTTCCCTCCAAGATCCTGGCTTAAGAATGGGCACACGTCCAGCTGTGGTGGTGCATGCGTGCAATCTCAGCACTCAGGAGGCTGAGGCAGGAGGATCCCCAGGAGTTTGAGGCCAGCCTGGACTACAATAGTGAGTTCAAGGCCAATCTGAACTACATGGCAAAACAAAAAAATACCCATCTCCCTCTCCCCGAAAAAATCAAAATCAGAAGACCAGAAGTCCTTCTGGAGTTTCCAGGAAGCTTGGCAGGCTGGCCTTTTAAAGCAAATTTTTATGAGTTGGGCATGGTGGCCCACGCCTGTAATCCCAGCACTTTGGGGAGGCTGAGGCAGAGAATGCCAAGTTCAGGCCCAGCCTGGGTGATTCAGTGACTTAGCAAGACCCTGTCTCAAAATAAAAAATAAAAAGGGCCAACAGGCCAGCCCCCATGGGCTGAAACTTCCAGCCAAAGCCAACTTTCCATCAACAATTGTTTATCTCAGGTGTTTTATCACAGCCACCAAAGCTGACTAATGCACCAAGCTTCCCAAGGAGAGATACTTCTGGGTGCCAGAGTCAATGAGTACATAGTTCTCCACACTTCAGGAAGTTCAAATTCTAGAAGTGTGTGTGGGTGGGTGGGGGGGGCGGGGGATTGCTTTTGATAAGCATCCTAGGTGACTGCCTTGCAGCAGAGTTGAGAACCTCTGACAACTGCACTGCCAGGGACCCAGGGTCTGCTCTCTGATCTTCTGTATCCCTAAGGCCACTTACTCCCAAACTCCAGTGATTTTAAGAAATGCCTTTTTTTTAGCCAGGTGTGGTGGCACACACTTGTAATCCCACCACTCAGGAAGCTGAGGCAGAAGGACTGTTGTGAGTTTAAGGCCAGATTGGGCTACGTAGCAAGACCCTGTCTCAAAAAGAGAGAAGAAGGGAGGGAGGGAGGGAGAGAGAGAGAGAGGAAGAAGAAGAAGAGGAAGAAGGAGGAGGAGGAGGAGAAGAAGAAGGAGAAGAGGAAGAAGAAGAAGAAATGCCTTTTTCTTGAAACAAGGTCTTGCCATGTAGTTCAGACTGATCTTGAACTCTATGTACCCCAGGCTGGCCTCAAACTTAGGGCAATCCTCCTGCTTTAGCCCCTCGAGTACTGGGATCACAGGTGTGTGCCACCACACCCAGCTTGGTGCATTTTTTGCTCCAGTCCTCCTGTGCATTTACACTCTGTTCCTGTAGGTTGTGCCCTCCTTCTTCATCCCCGCTGGGGCTCTGGGATGAGAGCCTGGCTCTACCTGAAGCTGAGGCTCACTAGGAACATCTCTGGCAGGGTCAGGTTTGAGGAGTTTGAGGAGATACACTTTCCACAGAGGAAAAATGATGAGAAGTTGCAAGCCAGGCCAGGAGGCTGTGGGAGCGGCAGGAGGGGCAAGAAGAGGGCAGGAGGTTGTATTCTTTCTTCTCCCCCCAAATTCCTGCCCACCTCTTTCCAGAGAGTGTCTCCTGATGGCCCTCTTCACTCAGGAATGGAATTCTAAGTGGCTGGGTGTGAGACATGAAGGTTAGTTGGGTCTGTTTGTGAATAAGGTGTTGCTGGGAGCCTCAGCCTTACCGTGACCCCAGCCTGGCAGTCGCAGTGACACTGAGTGACATGTCTGGGTTTGTTGGCCCACTGTGGCCCTATGGTGTTCAGGAAGACGCATTGATCCCAACCTTGTGCCGTTCATGGCGTGATCTCTGGGAGATCTGGAACAGCAGGGTATTATTCAGTGACCTGGTTTGAGGGTGTCTTTTCAAGACTCAGCTTTATGAGGATGTAGAATGATTAAGATCAAGGAGCCTCTGGCTCTGGGTTCAGATCCGAATCCACCACTTACTATTGATGTGAGTTCAGGGGTGGAAAAGCAGGTCTTACCCCCTTTGCATGAGGATTTGACCTTCGCTTAACTCAGCCTCTGTCTCCCGAAGGTAAGGAGTGTGTCAGCTACATTTAGGCAACATTGTTTGTGATAAAAATGACCTCTTGTGATTAAAAGGGTTGGAGACCATTCTTTGTGCTTCTCTGTTTACAGTGTCTCTTCACTGGCCTGTCCCTCACGGGGAAATGGGAAACTATGCCCAGCAGTGGAACTTGAGAAGTATTAAGCCTGGGGGTTACTGCACCCGCATTTCCTCAAACCTTAGCCAAGACCTTGGGGGCCCAAGAGAATAGCTCCTGGGTGCCCGTATGGACTGGGGTTCTATAGGCTAGTTCCACCCAAGAGGCCCTTCTGGGGCTGCCATGCCAGCAGCTTTTCCTGTCTTGTTCCCTTCTATGTGAATCAAATCTCAAGTGAAAATGTCAGCTTCTTGTGGTAATTCTGCAACCATCAATGTTTAGCTAAAGCTGAGAAGAAAACAGGTGTGGCAGGGGATGCTTTTAATCCCAGCACATGGGAGGCTGAGGCAGGAGGATTCCTGTGAGTTTGAAGCCAGCCTGAACTGCATAGTAAGACTGTGTCTCAAAAAAAAAAAAAAAAAGCTGAAAAGATCCCTGACAGGCATTATAGAGTGACCAGGTTTGTTTTTTCAATTCTATGTGCATTTTTCTTATCTAAAGAGTAGGGATGCTAATACTACCAAATCTCCAGGATGGTTATAAAGATTGTAATGTGCTTAGAGCACAGTGTCTAGTACAAAAGACAAAAGTATGTGCTGCTACCATCATCACTGTCGTCATTGTCATCACCATCATCAGAAGAAGGCAGCTGGCTCTTTCTCCTTTGGGTTAGTTCTAGTCTCATTGTAGCTGCCAGCTCACTGTGTGGCTTTGTACAGATGACCTTGATCTCTAAGGGTACAGGTCTTACTGTACGTTCTAGGTACTCCATTTGTTTGTTGAATGAATTAATGGGGCAGGATACCAGCTAAACACTCTTTAAGGTGTCTTATAGTTTCCCATAGTAGATCTTGGAAAATCTTGAATCAGAGAAGAAATTGGAGGAGGAGTGCAGAAAGAGGAGGAAATGACCTGCAGGAGGAGTGGATTGGGTCTCAGGTCTGGAGCTGTGTAGAGAGGGGACGGGTCATCGGGTGGAGGTGGAAGGTGTCCACTAGTCCAGCTGACTCCTCAGGTCTGACCCAAGCTTAAGAGAGGAAAGTGGGCGATTCTGACTCGAGAGTTGTACTGCATGGAGCCTGAGTCTCCAGGGTGGGCCACAGGGATTGGAAGGCAATGGTGCCTGGCTCAGAAAAGTTTCCATGGCTACTTTTGGTTGTATTGAAGTATCTCTTTGAGGAAAACTGCAGCATGGCCTCATAGCTCCCTGCATTTTTCTTCTCTGAGGACACCACTTGGCGGGCAGTGGGGATGAGGGATTGATTCTTACTGACCCTAATGCTGTGTTTCTCCTTCCCTCGTTCAGGTCTGAATGCTGGAGCTTTTTATGCCCTATCCACTCTACTGAATCGAATGGTGATCTTCCATTACCCGGTAAGGGAGTCCCCTAAGTAGGCCAGGTCCGGAGACAGGGTTTCCAAGTCTGTCTCTGCCCAGGCAGGCCCGAGTTAACTCTCGGTTCCCCTGCTGTGTGCTGTGCTTATGGGATTCGGTTCTCCCATAGGGGTTCTCTGGTTCTCACCCTGGCTTTGGTGGCACCAAACTCGGCAAGGATGTGACTGTGTGACAAGCTAGTTAGCGTCACTGAGCACTCTCTTTTCTGTGGAAGAACCACAATTTCCTCTCATATTACTCCTAGGGTTAGAAAATAAATAATACCTTTTGTGAATATATATATATTTATATCATATTTATTATATATGATATATGTAAAGTATGAGACATGGTATCTGGCAACACAATTGGTAAAACTACACAATATTTAATTTGTAAAGTATAGGCAAGGTTTCATTTTGAACTCTTAGTTGTTCAACTGAAAGCAATTTTTTGTTTGTTTGTTTTTTGAGATAGGTTCTCGCTACGTAGCCCAGGCTGGCCTTGAGCTCACTGTGTAGCCCAGGCTGGCCTTGAGCTCACTGTGTAGCCCAGGCTGGCCTCGAACTCACTGTGTAGCCCAGGCTGGCCTCAAACTTGCCGTGATCCTCCTGCCTCAGCCTCCCAAGTGTTGAGATGACAGGTGTTTGTCACCATGCCTGGCTCAACTGCAAGCATTTTTTAAATGTTTGGAGAACCAGTGAGGGCTGGATGTTGGGAAAGGGATACTGAGTGTTCTGGAGTCTTCTTTTGAAAGAGCTGGAATCACACACCTGCAGAGCAGAGAGACCGTTGTGCCTAAGGGCTCTAGCTTTGGAGTTGGTCTAGGTTCACATCCTGGCTGTGCACTCAGTGTGTCTTCTGTGACCTTGGACTACGAGGAGGTGAATCTCATTGTGCCTCAGTTTCATCTCTGTAAAATGGGGCCCACTGACTCTGAACCTTATGGAGGGTAATTATGTGGATCAAATGGTGGGAAAAATCTCATGCATGCTGCTCAGTTAATAGATAGCATTAAAAAATATATGACTTTATTTTCCTTTGGCACTGGTAGCATGTATACATACAGAGTGCTAATCCTAGCACTCTGGGTGGCTGAGGAAGGAGGATCACAAGTTTGACTTTTGCCTGAGTAACTTAGCAACTTAGTGAGGCCGTCTCAAAAAAAAAAAAGAAAGAAAAAGACAAATCTAGTACTGAAGGAAATTAAAAATATAAGAATGGAGTGTTTGGATTCTAACTGATTCCCCCATCTGTGAATGGGAATAATGGTAAATAAGATCAAAGCCTTGCTATAAGGATTTATTTATTTATTTATTTTTGATACCAGGAATTAAACTGAGGGCCTCATGCTTCCCAGGCAGGTGCTGTGTCACTGAGCTACATTCCAAGCCCAGGATTCAGTTGTTTTTAAAAATCTGCCTAACATTGGTTCTAAGGACAGAACTTGGTTCATCGTGTCATACCAGCACCAAGTGTCATGCGTGCGCGCGCGTGCGCACGCGCACACACACACACACACACACACACACACCCCGGGGGCACGCTGCAGGGCAGAACAGCTGTCCTAGGATTTCCTCCCAGGCTGTCTGCTTGCAGGCATCTTTCTGAACCAGGCTCTGAGTTGTGTGCCTTGACCTTTTCATCCCATGGTTACTCTGTGTTGTCACGTGCTTTGTCCTGTCACCGGATGATCTTTGGCATTTCCCCAGGGGGAAGAAGTGAACGCTGGACGGATCGGCCTAACCATCCTCATTGCAGGAATGTTTGGGGCTATGATTTCAGGCATTTGGCTTGATAAGTCCAAAACCTACAAGTAAGTCGCTGTTCGTTTCCAGCAGAACTGGGGACCCGTCTTTTGGAAATGATGCATTTATTGGATAGCAGTGCAGCTCAACTTTGGGTGTGACAGCAAGGGGTCTGAGGGGCCAAACAGGTAGTTCAGACTTATCTTCTCCAAACTTCAGTTTCCTCAATTACAAAGTGAGACTACACCTAACCTGTGGGGACTTTAGGAAGATTAGAGATGGGGATGCAAAAGCCAGCGTCTGAGTAGCTTTGTGGAAGGGGCAGGTGAGGGGGAAATGGAAATTGTTGTGGAAAAAAAAAAAAAAGAAAGAAAGAAAAGCCAAAAACCTCAAGCTGGGTGTGATAGCGCATGCCTGTAATTGTAGCACTTGGGAGGCTGAGGCAGGAGGATCACTGCAAGTTTGCAGCCAGCCTGGGTTACGCAGTGAATTCAAGGCCATCTTGAACCCCATAAGGACACCTTGTCTCAAAAAACAAAACAAACAAGCAACAATAACAACAAAAAAGCAAAAAAACTTCAGCAGTTGGAAAGTTTATGGAAACCCTGGAGAGTGGCAGTGAGGAGGGGATCCCACTAGCCTGCTCCTGTGGCTTCTCCTGACCCTGTGGGGTTAACTGAGTGCTCAGTGCTTAGTCCAGTTTGCAGTGTATGTGTGTATGTCACCTGGCCGTTCTTTAGACCTTGTGGGTTAAATATCGTGACGTACCTTGGGTGCAAACGCCCAGCACATTACGATCCCAGAGCTGTCTCTTGTTTTTGATTTTTTGTGATGCCGGGGATCGAACCCAGGGCCTCACACATTCGAGGCAACACTCTACCACTGAGCTCACCCCCAGCTCATCCTTCCCTTCATGCCATGATTTTCCAGTGCTCCCCATACACTGGGCCTTCAGTTAGTGCTCACTGATGGAGCCGCTGCCCCAGTTGTCCTGCTTTGGGGTGGCCCAGCATTCTCTGCTGCTCTGTTAAGGCCTCCACAGTTCCATGACTGGAAGAGACAGACAGTGGCTGACCTGTTTTCTCCCACATAGACCCACTTCTATGAGGCTGTGGTCGGACCAGGTCTCACTCCGCTTCCCTAGGCAGAGGCCAACTGAGGCCGCCCCTAGGAGAGGGCCGCCTGGCTTGCCATGGGCTCTTAATTACTGCTGGTGGGGCTTGGCTGCCATCAAGTCTCTGCCAACTGTTAGTTGCCTGCTCCAGCCAGACCAAGAGTGGAGAGAACTGGCCACTCCCAAAGCAGGGAACAGCAGTGTCCTTCTTCCCGGGCTTGCTCTGCCGCAGGAGAAGGGAGGGACTGCAATGTCGCTGGGTTGGGGTGTGGGCAGCCAGATGAATCAGACAAATTAGAAAATATAACAAAAGGATGGGGGAGGATACTTCCTCAGCCCCCTTCAGAACCAGACATCACTGGCTCCTAGTGTCCCTTGATGTCTAAATCCAGAGGTCTCATGAGACCTTCTTCTCCCTGTTAACTATCCAGGCAGAAAGGACAGTTCTCAGTGGGCTGTGACAGTTCTGTGACCTTGTCATCTATCTCCATGCTGATCTCTTCTCCTGAGGGGTCCCAGATTTGTCTTCTTTGATGTGAAGGCTGGAAATTGGGTGCTGAGGTCCATTTATCTCAGGCTAGAATTAGAAATAGTCTTTCTGGGCCGAGTGTGGTGGTGCATGGCTGTGATCCCAGCACTCCGGAGGCTGAGGCAGGGGGATCCCTATGAGTTCAGGGCCAGCCTGGGCTATATAGTGAGCTCAAGGCATGCTACACAGTGAGGCCCTGTCTTCAAAAAACAGACAACAGCAACAAAAAATGAAACTGATTAAACAAACATGGCCAAAAGAAGTTAGTTTTTGTGAGCTTGTGGAATTACTGAAGAAGACTTCTGTCCTTGAAGTTCCTTCCTTCAGGGTGTGTGGGAATAGATGGAAGGAGCAGGACAAGGGAAGAAGGAGGCTCCTCTAGCCTCAGCAGCTGCTCTGAAGCACCAGAGCGAAGTGGCATCCTCTGGAGACTTCTGCCTTGATCTTTTCCAAAGATGCAGCCACATAGTACAGTGTTATTCCCAGGTCTAGCAGTAGAAAGCACTGATGGTTCAAGCCCAGTTCTGGGTTCAAATCCCATGTGTGCATTTATTAAGCCAGTGACTTTGGAAAAGTAACTCATTTGGCCTTAGTTTCTCATTGGGAAACTTAGGAATGGTCACATATTTCTTGCAGGATTTTTGGTAGGGTTGAGTTGAAATCAGAAATTCGTGTGAAGGGTCTAACAGAATTTGATGCCCCATAAACGTACACATTAGTCTGACACACTGTCAGGTGCTCACTGGTGCCCCAGTGTCCTCTCTTAGTTCCACTATCTGGAGCAGAGTAGTTCTGATTCAACAGGAAAAACTGTGCTGGGTATGCAAGTACAACAGGAAGAGCTACTGATGCCAGAGAGCATCTGGCAGTCAGATCACTGCCCAGCATTGGCCAATATGAGGTCCTGGGGCAAAGCTAACAAGCAGCCATCGATGGCTTTCCGGTAGTCCTGAACATTACTGTCACCTCACCATGGATGGGGTTTGTCTTGTTTTTTTTTCCTGGTGGAAGATACGGGAAGGAAAGGGTTGTGTGCATGGTCCCCATGGATAAGACATGCCAAGCTAAGGGGGCAGCTTATGGAGAGGGCTCTGGAGGAAGAGAACTTGCCTACAGCAGGCTGGCTCATACTTGCCTAGTCTTGCCCTCTGTAGTACTGGTCATGATGAAGAGGAAGTCATCACTTGGGTGATCATTGGTTCACTGTTCACCACCCTTGTAGACAGACAGTTCTATGAAAACAGATGTCCTAGAGCATCGCAGGGAGCTTGACTGCCAGCAGGTGCTCGTTAGATACTTGTGGAATGAATAAGTGATCAGTTGTATTAAAGTCAGAAGGATATAACTCAACTTCTGTGCCTCTGCTTACAGGGAGACAACCCTGGTGGTGTATATCATGACTCTGGTGGGCATGGTGGTCTACACATTGACTTTGAACCTGGGACATCTGTGGGTAGTGTTCGTCACTGCTGGCACGTTGGGGTGAGTGTCACCTCTGACCTGTTAAATTGGAAAACTATAGGGAAAAGGAAAGGGAAAGGGGATGTTACCAGAGGCCTCTGCAGTGGTCCTGGTCCTGGTCCTTTTCTCCTGCAAGCTGGTATGATGTCCAAGAAATCAGAAAGTGGGAATTAAAGGAAACAGAGACTTGAGAGAGACTGAGTCTTAGGCTGATCTAAGTTGCTCTGGGCAGCAAAGACAAAGAACTCCCAGGACATCCAGTGTTTATTCATTGCAAGTGTGGGAAGGGGTAATCTGGGCAGGCCTCGGGACACCTGCTGATAACAAGTATCAAGCAGGCAGGACTGTAGATTGAGGACACAAGCATATCTTCTCGGAAGAGAACAAACGGTTCATTCAGAAGGGAAGAATTTAGTTGGAGTCCGTTGACCTTGACTGGGAGTGAACTCAGCCAAGCTCTGCTATTTCCGACATAACACAGCCAAATTATGGAGGGGCAAAAAGCTTGTGCCATTATCGCCTGCTAATAATGGGCAGAGGTGTCTGCTACAGAAAACACCATCCATGTCTTCCAGAACTGCCAGTATCCCAGGATACAATATCGATCTCCCTTTTCTGCCTTCTCACTGACCTCAGGAGATGTGGACAGGGTTCTGGGAGTCTTGGTCACACTTGCCACACTTCAGGCATCCTGAGGTGTCCTGTTGGAATGGAGTGAAGCATGAATATGCCCTCCAGGATCTCTGGGATGCTAGGAAATGCCTGGAGTCCTTTTTAGCTTTGTCTGGAACAAAATGGGGTCATAGAAAGTACACAGGGCTTGGAATAAAAATTGTCCAGGTCTCAGCTTGACCACAGGCATGTCACTTAACTGCCCAAGCTTCCATTTTCTTCATCTGTAAACAAAGATGAGTGACCTCCATCTTAGAGTTGTTAGAAGGATTGAGCGCAATAATAGAGGTGAAAACAATAAGAAGGGTGGAACAGATGAAAGGGATTAGTACTGCAATTTTCTAGGCCTGATGTATGAGAAAATACAGGAAACAGCACTCCTGTCACCAAGGCCTTTGCTCACCTCAACCCAGTTATTTTCCTTTGGGCGGTGTGAATGTGCTGTGAGTGTGTGTGAGAGAGACGCCTCTGGTGGAGGAAAACAGGGAGGACTTCAAGTTCCTCCTTTCAGGTCCCCTGGAGATGCTGCCCCAGATCTGGGGACTCCTCACTCCCAGCATGGGGCCATGTTCCCAGGACATAGTCCCTCAGCTGAAGGTGTAACACACCAGGCTTCCTTGCCCCTCCTAAATGCTGCTCTGCCATTGAGGCTGAATAGAGAAGCACTGGGGACCCGCTGAGCACAAGACCTACCCATGAGTTTCATCCTGGTCTGCAGGGCTCTCCTTTTCCTTGGAATGGGCGCCCAGGGGATGGACAGATTGACCAGGAGCTGGCATGCCTTGGTGGGAAAGGAAAAGCAGGAGAGGGAGTCTAAGGGAGGTGGGCTCCCCGTCCTTGCCCTGGAAGTTCTCTATCACCTTGGTTCTCTGTTCTGGACTTCAGCTTCTTTATGACTGGCTATCTCCCGCTGGGGTTCGAGTTTGCCGTGGAGCTCACATACCCAGAATCGGAGGGCATGTCGTCTGGCCTCCTCAACGTGTCTGCACAGGTAGGACTTCTGTTTTCTCTTTGTTCCCTGCCTAGCTGGGCTGGCATTGCATTGTGGCAGCTGGGCTCTGCCTGGGGGCCAGTTGGCTGGACCCTTCTTTCCAATCTTCCTTATGCTTTTCCAGGTATTTGGAATCATCTTCACCATCTCCCAGGGCCAGATTATTGACAACTATGGAACCAGGCCTGGGAACATCTTCCTGTGTGTGTTCCTTACCCTTGGCTCAGCCCTCACTGGTGAGTTGGGGCCTGAGGGCCAGATGAGGTCATGCTGCTCATGAGTAAGGCTGTTGGCAACGTGGGACCCCAGTGTCTTGATCATGCAAATGGGGAGCACACATGCAAGGGGACTTGTTAGGAAATCAGTTTGGGGGGCAGTAATATGTTTCAGTTGAATGAAATTTGGGCTTTGGAGTCAGAAGACCCACACTTGGATCCATTCGGATACTGACTTCCCTGGTTTTTTACTTTGGGGGCCTTAGTTTCCTAACCTGTAAAATGAGGATTGTTTGTGATCCTTAGAGCAATGTACATAAAGTCCCTAGCAAATGTGAGTGACCTTGATGTGTCATCATTGGGCTCTGCCTCGCAGGGACAGCAGTGATTCCCGGGCTTTTCTGAGTTGGCTGATGGCACCAACTTGCTTGAATGTCTGAAGTAGGTTTGAGGTGTCTGTAACCTTTAGGAAGACAACGGTTCCCCCCTCAGGATTGAACTTGACCGTTGGATCTACTTGATGACTCTGTCTTTGTCCTTCTTCTTTTTCAATTTCAGCTTTCATTAAGGCAGATCTCCGGAGGCAAAAGGCAAACAAAGAAATTCCTGAGACTGTGAGTATTCAGGAGCTTGGTGGGCACGGGATCTGGGTCCTGGGCTCGTTATAAGGATGTGACACTGTATATAGGGCCAAGGGGAGCACCCATGGGGACTAGTTTTGTGGTGGCCGTGAAGCCAGCTCTCCTCTCACGATCATGGCAAGCTAAGGGTTTCCTCCGTGATGTTTAGCTTGATCTTCTGTTACTCTTTGCTGGGCTTTTCCCCACTTCCTCCCCTCCTCCTGCCTCCCCTGCTGTGGTCTCTGGAGCATGTCACTGTTGTCAGAGTCTGCTGAATGGCGCCCTTGGATGGTGAGCCTAGTCCTGAATCCCTGGCTCCATTGTTTTCCCCCTGGGGTTTCTGGCTAGAGAGGAAAGGTGGGAGCCTGGCTTGACCACTCTCACTGTGATGGTGGTCCCGAGCCAGTAGCTCTCTTGGCATGTGATAGCCCTTACACAGCGTCACGGGGATGAAGCCAACATGTTGCCAGTAGGGCTCTAAAAGGACAAGCAGGAAGTAGAAGGTGATGGGAATATGGAGAGGAGAGGATCAGGAATATGATCTCAAACTGAAAAATGTTTCCCATCTGCTCTAATCACCCAAGTCCACTTAAACCAAAGTGTCAAGGATCAATTCTGGGGAAGAGGCTGGGGTGTAGTTCTGCCCTTGCCTGGGTTGTGTGAGGCTCTGGGTTTGACCCCTTGCACCAGGGAGCGGGAAGGGAGGGGAAAGGGGCAAGGGGAGTCATAGCTGAGCAAGGATAAAAAGAACTGCAACCTTGAGGAGGAGTAAAAGTAGGATATTTCTTACCAAAACATAAGATAAATAAAACTAACAAACTTATTACAGAAATAATATATATTCTTTGTAGAAAAACTGAAAAAACACAGTAAGTATAAAATTTTAAGCTGGGTACGGTGGCACATGTCTGTAATTCCAGCACTTAGGAGGCTGAGGCAGGAGGATTGCTGCAAGTTTGAGGCCAGCTTGAGCTAGAGAGTTCAAGGCCAGTCTGAACTATGTAATGAGACCCTGTCTCAAATTTAAAATCATTGCAATTTCCATCATCTAGAGATGCTATTATATTTATATTAATTTATGCATGTTTATGTCCACATATTTATATAGATATATATTTTTAACAAGGGCAAAGCACACAAGTTTATTTAATACAAATTTTACATGACAGAGAAGCCCTTATAAAGAAACAAAGTGCTAAAGAAGTTAGAGTGAGTTACTTATGCGGTATATATATATATATGTGTGTGCGTGTGTGTGTGTGTGTGTGTGTGTGTGTGTATAAAAAGCAAAAATAGAATCAATTTTTTTAAACTTACTATAATCATTATCAGGGTATTAGCCTTCTGCAATATATTTTTATATCATTTCAGTTGTTCTAGTATTTCACTATTCTTGCAGCCAGATCCTTGTGCACATGGTCCAGGTTTGTTAATCAAAGTTAGTTGGAGTTGCTGGCTCTGTGTCCTTGACTATGATTTATTTGAAGTACAGTGGACCCTTGAGTACAACCAGCCTGTCATACAAACAACTTGGGTTATGACTGGAATTTTAGTTTTAACTTATGACCCAAGTCTGGAGTTACAGCCCAAATGCTGGCCACTTGTGCTTCCAGATGGTCTCAGATAGATTTAACCCTTAAAGAGTTCTGGAAGGAACAGTACAACATCCTTTCCTGTGTGGGGTTAATTAAGAAATCCCAGGCCAGTGTCTCTCTAAGGACACTGCGATCTGCCTGTATACAGGAGAGAGACTTTGAAGGCTGTGTAGAGGAGCCTGGGCCTTCAATTGACCAACTTGAGTTACAACCAGCCCTTGAGAACAAATTGAATTCGTAAGTCAAGGGTCCACTGTAACACTGAATAGAAACAGAAACCTAAAGTTGCAGTGGTGAAGTGTCCCTGATTGTCTTGTGTCCCTGGATAATTCACTGTGCATGTCTGGACCTCACTACATCTGAAGCTACTTAGTATTAAGAGGAAATTAGTGTCATGCTGGGGCTGACAGCAGGGAAGCCATGGCTGTCACAGAGCCCCCCTCTTCTGGAGCCCTGTCATTCACCACCCTTGGTAGGCAGTGTAACTTGGAGGCCTGTAGACAAATAAATGCACTCTCAGGGCCAAGTGAAGACAGGGCACACAGCAGATCTGGCCAGATCCCTCTTCCTGCACAGCAGTGATAGGTACAGCTTGGCTAAGAAGAGACAGAACTCCGGGGCAGGAGTAGAGACTGACCTTGACTATGAAAATCATCATTTGGGTTTCCATTTTTCTTCCAGCACATAGACAGTGGCTGTGCTTTCGCCCATACTAGCCTATCTCTGATTGTGATTTCCCGGTGATGGCTTTGGGGTGACAGGCACACATGCACGCATGAGTGTGTGTGCGTAGTGAGAGGCTGAACTGCCTACCTGTCATTGCCTGAGAGAAGGTTCCCCAAGGTTGAGGCTGACTGTGGTACAAAGGTCAGCAAGCCCGAGAAAGGGAAGGTTAGAACTCTGCAACTGTCCCCCTTGCCGTGCGCCGGCCGTGAGACACTCCGGGGAAGAAAGCATCATTTGTCAGCTGGCCTCTAGTCTGGCCCTGCACATGCTCCTTGGGGCCTGGGGTGGAGCTGGGGTGCAAAGCTGGGTCTGTGCCCAAGGTCCCTTGCTAATTAGAAGACCCCCTTTTGGGAAGAGGCAAAGCACAGCTTAAAATGGCAGGCAAATGCCCAAGTTGGCAGTGTGTGCCCAGGTCCCCACATGATCATTTCTAGGCCGTATCTAATTCCAAGCCCACCCGACAAGTGTGGCCGGGAGGCCTCTTCCCGGCAGGGGAATCCTGTGCCATCCCTCCCTCAGAAAGCCGAGGTCAACCTGCCTTGAAGTCTTTTTTCCTCTGCATAAAGTATGAATATACTGCATTAAGTTTATATGTGCAGTCATGTATGCTGCTTTAAAAAAGTTCAATTGTGGCATCAACTCCATGGAGATTATAGTAATGCCCCCCATCTTGGGCCCCCTCTAATGGGGGGCCGGTGTAAATGCTGAGGGACTTGCAGAGCTGGCACATGGAGATGAACCCAGTTGAGCTTGGATGATGTCCTCTGAGTGGGATGGTGTGCGGTTGTGGTGGTGTCATAGGAAACTGGCCTTTTTCCCTTTGATAGTGGCGATGGTGGGGAGCAGTGCTTAGGGGGTGCACTTAGCCAGCAGCTGGGGGCTGCTGTTCTTGTTGGGTATGTCTGCTCTTTCAGATACTGAATGGCTTCTGGTTCAGGCCCACTGATTAGAGTTAGGTCCAGGCAGCTGCTCCAGCCAGGGCAGAGTCCTATGCCTTTTATCCACAGGGCTGCCTGCCTGCTTTGCCTTACAGAAAGCCCAGGAGGAGGAAGAGGAGGAGGACAGTAACACCAGCACAGCACCCACTGTCATAACGGAGGTCCATCTCTGACAGCCAGAGGTGGCAGCGACTCAGGGAACACGAACATCCCACCTCTTCACTTACCCCAGCTCTCACTGCCACCGCAGGTCTTCATTGGAGAAGCTTTTGGAGGGAATCAGCTGAAATATTTGTGGCTTGCATGGCAGTGCCTATGCCTCCGGGAACCCCATAAGAGCTTGGTGGGTACCTTCCATCGAATGCAGACTGGATTCCCGCCCCCTCCGCCTTTGAGGAGCTCGAGGGTGGCAGTGTTGGGCAGGGCTGGTGGATGGTACTGGAGTCATCCTGTCTTGGCCGCTGGTCTTCCCTTATCATCTTTACCCTCATGGAGAAAATGTGTAAAATTATCACAGGCAGAAAGCTTATTCAGGATATGAACTTTTTCCTAGTGTCTTAGGGCCTCACCTGAAGCCCATTTCTAAGGAAAGGCAAGTGGCTCCGCCTTCTTTCTGCGTTCCTAAGTCATCAGAGGGACTGTTCAACAGCCTCACAGGGTAACTCCCTTAGGACCCTTGGCCCCAGCTGGAATCTGTCTAATTTTGGGATCTATCTCCGTATTCTCCTAGGAGCTGATCAGACCAAACGTCAATAAACTTGACCAATATTTTGTTGTGGCCATGCCGAAGGAACTGACTGGGGAGGGGTGACTACCTTGAGGTGGTATGGGAAGGTAGTTTTCCTACAAAAGCAGTTCTTGTCCAGGTACGTCAGTGTGTCCTTGGCCACTCCATACGCCCTCATCTGGACACTGCACTGGGACACTCAGCCATCAGCCTAAGTGCGTGTTTTATCCCAAGGGAGCAATCACAGCCAACTTCACCCTCAACTTCACTGAAAATCCGCTCTGACAAGTCCAAGGCTGCTGCTGAGAGATGAAAGAACAGGGCTAGGAGGAAAGGTGCTTCTTGAAATGGGTATTGAGTCTGCTTGAACTGAACATATCCCACCTCCGGCGGGGACAGCATTTGCACACCCACCCCCTCTCCCACCTCCTGCTAGCTATAGTCTGGGTCAGATATTCTAAAGTTAAAAGGATCCCCTTTAACCAACAGAAGCTGGCCTGCTTTCCTGCCTGGCCTGCTGTCTGGGTCTTCTCTCAGGCATCAGTAGCATCTCCTGAAACAAGAAGAGTTTAGGGATTTTTCCTGTGCATCGAGCAGCTGTGACACGACCACTGTGCTGTCTGGCTTTGGCCACGGTCCTGGCCTCAATGTCATCAGAACAGCCTGGCCTGGCTGGGTGCTGCTGGTAGCCCGGGGGGACAAGATCAGTGTATTTGTGTACAGAGCTAAGCAAGGGATGGGATGCTGTGTATGTAATAAAAGAAGTCTACTCTTGTGGCGAAGGGGGGGTTGGGGTAGAAGGGAGCTGTGCCTCACTTTTTGTCAGGAGACAAATATTTATTCTTCAGTCCCTCAAAATATTTTAAGAGCGTGTTTACTGAATCCAGGGCTTTATTTTAAAAACGCAAGTTGTAGTTTCTATTTGTGATACCAATTTTTGAGGCAATAAAGGGTTCCTAAAGTGGTCTGTGAGGTCATTTGACGGGGCAGAGGCAGCTTCTGGCAGTCCCCCACGAGGTTACCATGCACTTCTGAGGGCTGTGGCTGAAGTGTGTGGGGAAGGCTAGAGGGGCTGAAGGAGCAGCAACTGTGGCCTTCCACAGGAGGATCTGTCCTCTGCAGATGTGAGTACCACCCTCCAGGTGAGTCTTTTAAAGATTGTAGCAGGATGTGGTGGTGCATCCCTGTGGTCCCAGCTACTGGGGAGGCTAAGGCAGGAGGACTGTGAGTTTGAGGCCAGTCTGGGCAACACAGCAAGTCCTTGTCTCAAATGATAAGTGAATCAAAAAGAACGATGAGACTGCAAAGGTTTCTGTCTGTTGACGTGGGATACTGCAGCTCGGTGGCCAGTGAGTGACCCTGGCCTCTTCCCCCAGGGTGTATACATGGGAATGTGACTGCTGATAGGACCACCCACTGTTGCTTCTGGCTCTGCCTCAAAGAGTGGCCGAAGTGTTTGTTCTGTGATCATCCCTGCCATGCTCTGGCCAGAGTCCACAGCTTGGGGCCGGCATCCACAGTTCTGCCCTACCGGATTTCCTTCTGACCTGTCCTGCTTCCTGCCACTCCTTCCACCCCAACTGCTCACCTTGCACCCGGGACTCTGAGAGGCTGCTTTGATCTGTTTCCTGTACATGTCTTCCCTAGACCTGCACTATGCCTGTGGCATTCTAGCACTGCATTTACCAGCAATTCTTAGCTGCTGACAGTATGACTCTACTTCATTTAAAGTATTATTAGTACATGCTTGCAATACACGATTACATTCACCATGGAGAGCTGGTGCATATTCATATCTGTTGTTTTTTGGTTTTCAGACAGGTTCTCACTATATGTAGTTCAAGCTGGCCTTGAACTCACTTTGTAGCCTATGCTGGCCTCAAACTCATAGTGATCCTCTTGCCTCAGCCTTGAGTGCTAGGATTATAGGTGTGTGCCACTGTACCTGGTTAATAACACTTCTTAATTCTTTTTACCCCTACCTCCATTATACTTTAAATCACCTGTGGGGGAACTCAAAGGCTAAATGCTCTACCTATATCATCTCTTTAGATCCATGCTTAGAGGATCCACATTTTATATTTTGCTTCTCTCTTTTCAGTGGCTTCCAGCCAGGAAGAGCCATCCTGGAGTGTGTAAAGGGGAGGGGCCTGCTCTGGGGCATCATCCTTGGGGTCTAGTTGGCTCCTTTCCATGGTCATGCAGCTGTTTTTTCTATGCTAATTCTATTTTCTATCTCTGCACTCAAATGTTAACTCTGTCTCAGGTCACTGCTTACACCCCCTTACCTCCTCCTTTCAATAGTGATAAAGAAAAGATGGTTCTTACCACGAAGCTCTTTTTCTAGAAGTAGTACTGTAGGGGTTTGCAGCCTGGACTCGCTGCACCCTCTTTTGGCACCGTAAAGGAGCCTGAGGAGGAAGCAACACAGCAGGGTAAAGCTGAATCACAGAGCCAGAGCTAGAGTCCAAATCAGACCATCCCTGAAGACTGTAATTCTTGTAACTCTTCGGCTGTGTTAGCCATGTTTTCTTTAGTGTTTAAGGTAGATTTTGTTCTTTTCACCTGAAGAACTGCCAGAAGAACTGAGGATGTAGTTGAATGATAGAATGCTTGCCTAAAACGTGCAGGGACCTGTCTACCTCTGCTGGGGCTGGGGGCCTGATGGAGAATTCCCAGTGTGTTCAAGTGTAAATGTTGACCGTCCTTCATACCTTTGCCAGCCTCTGCCCCCCTTTCACTTCCTCTTCATCATACTCTACTTACAATGAACTCATTCCGTGAACAAGACTCCACCTTCTAGTTGCCGCTCCCTCAGCCTTAAGTGCCCAGTTCACGTCTCAAGACGTCTGACTCCTGAGCTTGAGTCTCACTTAAAATCCCACCACCTCAGGGAGAGGTTTGATTCCCCCATGCCCTCCACCTCCTTCCTCTTGTTCAAAACACCTTGTTTCCTGTAGGATTCTTTTATCAGAAGTTGCTGCTACCTTGACTAGTATAATGCCCACAGGAGTGGGGGGTTGCCTATCTTGTCGATTTTTCCCAAGCGTCTTGGCACAGAGACACACTCCATGAACACTTGTTGAAATAACAAGTGGCCTTTTCAGTGTATGCACTGGGTGGGTGGTGTGGCGGGGGGGGGGCCCTGTTCCAGGACATCATCCTCGGGGTCTAGTTGGCTCCTTTGCACCGTCACGCTGTCACGCAGCTGTTCCTTCTACGCTAATTCTATTTTCTGTTTCTGCATCCTCGAGAACCCATTTCTTTAGGAAGAAAGTAGGAAAGGGTCTTGATGTTGAGTTGTGAACTCAGAACCTTGAAGATGGGAAAGAGGAAGCTCAGTACGGTAGCACACGCCTGTAATCCCAGCACTCTGGGAGGCTGACACCAGAGGGTTGCAGGTTTGAGCCGAGCCTGGGCAATTTAGCAACCTGAGAGAGACCCTGTTTCTAGACAGATAGACAGATAGGGCTGAGGATGTAGCTCAGTACAAGAGCCCTGGTTCAATCCCCAGCATGTGGGGAGTGGGGAGAGAAAGAGGCCATGAAAGTGAGTGACAATGAGGAACAGGTTGTGTGGAGGCAGCTGGGCTGACCTGGCTCTTGAGCTGTCCCTCTCAAGTGGTGGATCTGATCAGGCAGAAAGCTGGGACTTTGTTGTCCTAGGGCTCAGGAAGGGCCAGGCTGCTCTTGTCTTAGAGATCAAAGTACAAGGACTGAGCACAGAAGAGGGTTTTTTCTTTTTTTAATTACAAAATTTGCTACACAAATACAACTGACCAGAAGGTCTAAAAACAGCCCAGACTGTCCAATCCCTCCCCTGCCTATGAGTAAGAGCCGAGGTCCTGCTCGAGCCCTCTTCGGAAGCACTGCCTGTCCCCAGACGGTTCTGAGTCTTGGGTCCAGCTGCAGAAAGGAGCTCAACGTGTGTGGACGATGCCTTGAAGCAGCCCTTGGTCACAGCTGCTCGGGGTGGGCAGCAGCTTTAAGTTCATAGTCCCCTGTTCCCACCACACAAATCAAATCAGGGAATGGAAATCAAAGGAAAACAAGAAGAAGGCTTTTGGAAAAGGGAGCGTGGGGGGTAAGGTGGTTGTGGGTGGGGGAAGGACTCAGTGGCAATTTCTTGACTCAGATGGTGTTAGAGAGAATAGCCACTTTAAAATTATCTTTAAATTATTTGTATGTGGGATGTGCTTTTCTGTGTGCATGACACATCTTAAAAATTTTTACATGGAAAACAAAACCAGAAAATTTAAAGAGGCTAAAAGTGGGAATGGGGCTGAAGACAGAACTGAAAAGAAGAAATTAAAGAGAAGAGAGAATGAAGGAAGAAGACAGCAGAGGTGGAAGATGAGGACGTTTTGGAGGTGGTAAAGTTGGCCTCAATTCCTCTTCTTCTGTCTGGACACTGGTTCTGCTTCCAGGTACCGGAGCCCGACTAGCATGCCCAGGATTGAGAAACCTTAAACACACAGAAAAGATGAGTGGTGGACAAAAACTCAGCCTCTTTTGGAGAATTCCTGGACAGCTCCAGATCTGGGTCAGCTGCTGCAGGTCTGGGGTGGTGGGGTGCTTACTTGCCACCATCAGGGGTGCCAGGATGCCAATTGTGGGAGCTGCAGTTCCGAACACAAGCAACTCGGACAGGAAGTGGCCCAGGGCGAGGAAGAAGGTCCAGAGCGTGATGTGATAGAGCCTACACGGGAGCAGACAGAGATGGGAACAGCAGGAAGTCAGACCTGATACGCACAAGCGATGACTGGCTTAAAAAAAAATGACGCTTGTACAGGAAAGCTCCTGGCTATTTGATCACATCGCTGTTGTCACCTAGGGCAAAACTAAAGTTTTAGAGGCTGATCTGAGACAATGGTCCAGATACTCAAAGTGGGCTCTGAGTCTTAGCCAGGTAGAGAATCCAGCTAGAGCCGAGCAGAGTCTGGGTTATTGCTATCCTAGGCAGTGCAGACAGTTTGGGCTCCATCACACTTACGAGTCTACTTGTGTAAACTGTTGTCTGCCCACATGTTTACAGAATGAATGCCCTGAACAGGGAGTAAGGTGTACAGTGTCTCTGGGGCTTTGAGATGTGCTGGTAGCACAGGCTGGTTGTTTTGGGTCTTAGCCTTAGAAGAGGGGTCAGGCAACAGACACAGCGACAGTGCCATGGAATGAGAACTCAAACTTGTTCATCAGCTGTGACTGTGAGGTGGAGAGGAGAGATGTACTACTGGCTGACTATCACTCGGGTTGCTGATAACATTTTTTTTCTTTTTTGTTTTTTGAGACAGGGTCTCACTATGTAGTTAGGCCAATCTTGAACTTACTATGTAGCCCAGGCTGGCCTCAAACTCATGGAGATCCTTCTGCCTCAGCTTCCTGAGTGCTGGGATTATAGGTGTGTGCCACTATACCCAGTCTGTGATAACACTTTTCTAAATTATGAAATTAAAAAAATGTAGGAAACACTTCAAACATATAAAAAATTATACAATATTATTATTATTTTTTTAAGCATTTTATTATTTTATTTTATTTATTTATTTAGGTACCAGGGATCGAACTCAGGACCTTGTGTTTGTGAGGCAGGCAGTGGAACCACTGAGCTAAATCCCCGGCCCTAATTATACAATATTATAATGACCTCAATGCAATCAGTATCTAGCACCATCAAATCTTAATATTTGGAGATTTTTGTTTAGATTTTTTTTTCTAATAAGTAAAATGTTACAAAAAAATAAAGCATGTCAGGCATGGCGGTACGTGCCTGTGATCAGGAGGCTGAGGCAGGAGTATTGTCATAAGTTTGAAGCCAGCCTGGGCCACAAAGTGAGTTCAAGGCCAGCCTGAACTACATAGTGAGATTGTCTCAGGAAAACAAAAAGTTTTGCAGATAACAGTTAAAGCATCTTGTGTATCATTATCTTATCTTGACCTTCTCCATCCCTCCTCCCCAGAAGTAAATGGCTTCATTATTCTGGTGCATGTTTTTATAGTTAGTAAACAAGGGTGCACTGTGTTGCTTTTGTTTTTCAAGTCAGGGAGGGAAGAAGATCAGAGTACATGCCAGAAGTGCCTAGACCAAAGTCCTGGCTAGAAGGGCTGGAAACAGCAAGTCAGCATTTGTGGCTGCCCTGTGCCGGGCGAAGGGAAAAGTGAACAGTAAGAGAGGTGAGAATGAGTGTGAATCGCCTCTGCTCACAGCAAAGCACAGCAAACACAAGATGTACTCCAGTGATTGTTCCCCATGGTAAAGGTCTTTAAAATGATCATTCAGTCCTCCCTCTTAGCCACCCCGAGAGACAGAACAGCCATCTTCATCATTTTACAGATGGCGAGACCAAGGTGCGGAGAAAGTAAATAATGAACGTGTTGCTATGAAGCTAGTTACCAGCACAACAGATCAGAATGCATTTTCTTGTTTTCCTTCTTGGCCCAGGCTGTTTCCACTAAACCGTACTGCTTCTAAAAATATGTGTCAATCTAGGGCAAGTAAACCAGTCTCAAGTTAAAAAAAAATTAAAAATAAAGTTGGAATGAGCAGAGGGCTTGCTTCAAATCCCGCTTGAGTCAGTCTTCTTCACTTTAAATTAATTGGGTCTCTAAGATTCAGATCTGCAAAATCAGGAATGAAAACCACTGCCTCCTAGGGCTGCTGGGAGGAGGCTTAATCAAGGTCATGGAGGTGAAAGCTCCACCACAATTAGAAAGGCTCAGTGAGTATTACTGCCTTCTCTGTTCCTCAGCGGCTGAGAGCCTGGATAAGACAAAACTCTTGCAGAGTGAGGTTGGCACTTTGACAGTCTCACCCTGCGGACTGAGCAATCTGTTTCCATCTAGCTTGTGATCATTGCTAGGAGAAAAGCTTTAACCCCCTCCAGTGGCCAGAACTGGATATGGCATTATCTAGACCAAGGCTACCACTGCCTACAACTGTTCCTCGCTTAATCCCCACACAGGTCAGCCTTCCCCCTCACCTACTGACTCTGCCTAAGCAGACAGCAGCTTACTCGTGGGGTCTCTTTTCTCATGGGTTGGATTTGTGTTCATTCCTGCTTCTGAGAAATGTGAGAAAGCTATGTGTGGGTGGCCATTCTAAAAAGAGCACATCAAGATGGGGATGTAGCTCAGTGGTACAGTGTTTGCCTACCATGCATAAGGCCCCAGCACCACAAAAAAAAATCGAAAAACTGAAGCTAAAAAGAGCATACCACTCTACTTCTTTAGTAGAAGAAAGACTGACTCTTTTCTTCCTTTTATTTATGTATTTAGTGGTTTTTCTCTTTTTTTTTCTTTTTCCTTTTCTGTTTTGAGACAATGCCTTCCTCTGCAGCCCAGGCTGACTGTGGACTCTTGATCCTCCTGAGTGCTGGGATTACAGGCGTGCATCACCACACCTGGCTGAAAGGCTTACTGTTTAGTAAAGAAGTAGAGGGGCATGATGCAGACTACTGCAGTTTGCTCTGTCAGTTCCAAAGACTTTCAGATTTTAAAGATTTGTTAGGTCTGTTATGGTTTTTAGGCCTGGAAGGAATGGAGTCTGTTGGCCTTTTATTATCCACATTTTAGCTTAATGTAGTAAAATGATTTACAGGTGCCAACAACAAGGATGATGGGGTTTGCCTAGCACCTGATTTCCCACAAAAGGATGCTAAAGCTCTTCCTTCCCTTACATACGTCTTGTTGTGGATGTCAATGGCACAGAGGCAGCGAATCACTGATGAGAGCAAGGTCCAGATCCCAAAGGTCCGAGCTTGGAGGCCATTCACTGTGTAGCAGAAAAAGCAAGAGTGTTGAGAAGGGGTGGGCTGGAGTTCCTTCCCAGCTCCTTCTATTTCACAGGAATAAGCTGAGCCTGACCTCCCTGTGGCTGGGCAAAATGGAGGCTCTGGTGCCTCACCTGGTGACTAGGAGGAATGGAAGCAAATTCCAGAATAACTGCTCAGATCCTCTTCAGATGTTTACAGCTGGAAACCCAACAAAGCACTCACTTAGGCAAATAACTCCTGGAAGCAGTTTATACTCCCTGCTCCTGGAAGCTTAGTGAGCCTGAGCAGGACAGGTTTGGGGGGATGCTACAGAGATGGGTCTGTGAACACAAGATGCCTAGGAGATCGGTAGACTTTCAAGAATGAGCCAGGAGAGATCTCAGAGATACTAGAACCAGCTGAGATGCCCTAAAGATATGGTTTACGGTTCCCAAGAGATCTGAGTCTGTGGTCTCTTTCTGAAACCAGATCTACATTGTTTGAACAAGGCCCAAACCAGGCTGGTTTCCTGGGCACATGGCAGTGGAGCAAGGTACTATTTCTTTGGGGTTTTCTGGGGAAACTCTGTTCTTGGTGGCATCATTTTGATACTGCTGTATTAAACATCTTGTCCTGAAAGTATGGGTCATATTCCACCAAATAGTGGTTCTTTTCTTTTTTTAAGCAAAACATTTATAATAATGGTTCTTGACCCTGGGCACTTACTACAATCAACCAATGGAGTTTTATAAAATTATTAAGGCCTGAGTATTGGCCCACTTACACTATGCTCCCGGGAGGTGGCCCTGGCATAAATATTTTCTAGAAACTCTGCTAGGTGATTTAAATGTGCAGCCACTGACCTAAGGTAGCCAGTGGCTTAGAAATGCCAAAACAGTGAAAGCAATGCTACTTCCTCTGCTGGTTTGTTCCTTGCTGAGGAAGAGAAATCTCAAGGGACAAGACTGACAACTGAAAGATCTCCTAATGTTTACCTGGGCTTTAAGGATATTCTAGCCTTTGGAAAAACCAGATAGCTCTACCAAATTCACAACCATGAAGACTTCCAGATGGTAATGAGAAAAAAAAAAATTCCAGATGTCAACCAAATGGTTATATTAGCCCCAAATTAGATTTTTTTTGTTGATGAAAAGGCCTTACAGCAAGTCCCCTGGCCTCTGAGCTTCTCTGTCTCAATTTTAAACTCAAAGGGCCAGATCAGAGAATTTTTAAAAATCCTATGTACATATACAGGGTTCCAGGACCATCTGAGGGCAGAATTTGAGGGTGAAAAAAATAGAATTTTCCTACTCACTTTTCCAGGTTCTTTACTTCTGTTATATTTGAACTGTGTTCAAAATAAGCCTTAGCCTACTTTCATTTTACACCCAGATGTTGCAGAAAGAGTGAGCTAGGTCAGATCCTGAATCGAGGTTAGCTGTAAGTGTGACAGAGAACTGTCTGCCACTATGAAACAGCACTGCAGCTCAAAGTACCCCCACAATAGCGCAACCAAGTGCATGCTGAGGTGTAAATACACCCAAAAGAGGGGTCAGGAAGGCAGGAAAGGCTGCTGTGAACGTTCAGAGGGTTCACCTTGGGAGACCAACTTAGAGGAATTCAGGGTATCTGCTTAGGGACACCATCATGGTTTGGGAAGTCCTGGGATTAGTAACTGCCCACCTGTAATGTGGAACGTAAACCATGTGTGCCATGACATGATTTCTGAAGAGGGCTCGGAGAGGCTGTTAAAAGCTTCTTTATGGCTTTCTAGTTGCGCACCTCAGCTCACCGAATGAGGGCTCCCTTGCCTTAAAACACTTTTTGTCCACACTAATTGTCCAGTCCAGTGTGGGATGAATGAAGAGCTATGCAGAGAAGCTTGAGGGAAAAGGGTCAAGTGTTCTCCACATAGCCTGTTACCCCTATGGCTATCAAAGGCTAGATTAGGCAGCCTGAGAATCACCCAGAGTTTTAGAAACTGGATTTCTGGTCCCTCCTAGGCTCAGTAATTAGATTCAAAGAGGGAAATAGGTAGCTTGTACCTTGTTCTTTGTTTGTTTTTAAGTTTCCTGGGTGGTTCTGAAGTACAGCCTGGCTTGGGAACCACAGTGAAGCCATTTCTAAATAGGATGCGGTTCTTTGGCTTCTTACCGAGGTTTGGTTTGCCAGTGTAGAGCTTTTCATAGAGGAAGGAATGGTCTCGGAAGCTCTGGAGTGTGTTCCCCATGGCTATGATGGACACCATGACCAGCCAGCTCCGCAGCACATTCAGGAAACGGCTCATGGTGACACTCACGTCTGAGAGGGTGTTTGCCCTGAAAACAAAGAGAGACAACACGTGACAATGCAGATTGGTGTGCTTTCACCAGAAGCTGCCACACTAGCCTGTGGACAACCTATGTCCCACTTATAAGGGCTTTACTAAGCTTAACTGGCCAATCACTTTATGAATTCTTCTCCAAGTCCTTTAGGCTCATTCATCCCCAGTTTTCTTAACACACTGCTCTCTTTTTTTGAGATGAGATCTTGCTAACATGCCCAGGCTGGCCTCAGATTTGCAGTTCTCCTACCTTAGGTTCCCGAATTACCTTGTTTAACAAACACCTCTTACTTCACAGGGCTAGCTTGCTGCCTGGAAATTTTTACCCTAAAACAAAGTGTGGTGACCTTCACTCAGTGTGACAAGTGCTAAATAATACAAAAGGTGGAAATGATAAATCCAGTGAGGGAAAAATGGAAAGAAAGGGAACAGAAGAAAAGGAAGTGTACGAATATTACTATAAAGCAGTGGAATGGAATTCTGTGTAAGGCTTACAGAAACTGGTCTCAATACTTTGTCACACTAATAGCAGTGGATGAATAATATACTCTGCAGTATGTGGCACAGTACTTATCACTGTCCAAGTAATTGCTCCAAAATACAGTATTACCCTAAATGAGAACTCCTTTCTCTTGGGAATCAGTACTCTAGTATCTTTGCCTTTTATGCAAGTGACTGAAAGGGGTCCTTCTTTCCTTTCTTCCATCTTCCTTCCCTCCCTCCCTTTTTCTCTCCATCTAGAATACTGGGGATTGAACCTAGGGCCTTCACACTGAGAAACATCCCTCAATGTTTTTCTTGTTTTGTTTTTGAGACAAAGTCTCACTAAGTTGACCAGACTGGTCTTGAATTTGTAATTTTCCTGCCCCAGCCTCCCATATACTACCGGTGTATGCCACCACATCCAGCTTCAAAGATGACTTTAAATCTACTCACAGATACCTGACTGGTTATTGATGACAGATCATTCCAGTGCTACAGAAGCCCTAGATATTTGAGTAAAACCTATGGTGTGATGCACCACGTATACTTTAGGTTGTCTCTGCTCTTCAGATATATCATGCTTCATGAATTAGAACAATCTAAAAGTTAAAAATAAACTGCTGTGACTTTAGAGGTAGTAAGATTATACGGAGAGAGAAACAACAATGTTGGTGTGGAATGCAACGCCAAGAAAAATAACAATAGCTATCAGTTATTGGGCACTTCAACTATTCACTGTGCCAAGGACCTGGCATATTATTATTATTTCATTTAATCTTTACAAGGTAGGCAGATACTATTGGTATTTATTTTATAAGAGAGAGTTGGGACAGAGAGGTTAAGTGATTTGCTTGAGGTTTTACAGCTAATATATGGCAGAGTTAAGACAAGAACCGTCTGTTGGACGTTATATTGCAATACTATCTTATTGAGAATGTTTTGATAAAGTTCCTATTTCTTTTTTTTTTTTTGTACTGGGGATCGAACTCCGGTCCTTGCGCTTGTGCAGCAGGCAGCAAAACCACTGAGCTAAATCCCCAGCCCTAAAGTTCCTATTTTTGAAGAAGACAAGCATTATCATTTCCACTTTGTCTTCAAATTGTATGAAAAATACAATTAGGTTATATGCTTTTTGGTTTTTTTTTTTTTTTTTTACAGCTTAGATCAACCCTTGCTGAACAATGATTTCAATCAGCTTGATTTAAATGCATCTTATTTAGGGGCTGGAGATGTAGCTCATTGGCGCCATGCCTGCTTGGCGAGTGCAAAGTCCTGAGTTCAATCCCCGGCATCAAAAAAAAAAAGATTATATAAATGAATCCTATTTAATAAAGAATCTAATAAAGGAACAAGCTTCCTCCCATCACCACCACCAGCATCACTACCGTTAGGGCCATGGTGTGTTCTCTGTTGTCAGATTAACTTCTTGGGCCCAAAGTGATAAGCAAATATCATGCTTCCTTTGCCACTCTGGCAACAGAAGTTTCGGTATGGTTCCACACTACTCAGCTGAGATAGGTATTAAAGTCAGCAATGGCCCCAAGACAGTGTGAGGCATCAAAATCCAACCAATAGAGGTGAAAGGGTGAACTGATGAGCCCCTCTGGGAAGCATGGGTCATGAAGGTGTCCTGTTCAAGTCAAGGGAGAACACGGGTCTGTTAGACATCGCAGTCACTGCCTGAGCCATGATTCATCTTCCCTTTTATTTTCTCAGCTCCTCTCAATAGGAGAGTCAGGTCTCCTCCTAGGGTTTCAAAAGCTGCACGGACGCCCCATGCACCCACCACCCTATTTTCCAGCAGAACTTACAAATCCCAGCAGGCAACCTGAGCCTTTCAGAATTGCTTCTGCCAGTTACTCAACCCCATTATGCTGGCCCTACTATTCGGTAGCTATGTGACCCTGGGCAACTAATTTACATTTTGCAGCCTAATCTGCAAGTGGGGGCTACATGTAACTTCCTCAAGGATTCTAGGAACTGCATGAGAAAAAGTGAAGGCCTCTTGTATAGTGGTATGCTCAGTGTCTGCTCGTTCGTTCTTTCAGTCCTTCGTTCTCCGAATTTACTAAGCCATCTCCACCTTCCCACAGTAGCTCCCTCTCGTCCTGGCCTCTTGAACTCCTTTTCCCCAAAAGGCAGTCTCCCAGATAAACCCCATTTTTCTAGATTCCCCAGATCCTGTCAATCAGGTAGGACATAGACACCCACAACCGTCTCCAAATCCTCCTACCTGGCGATCCGACCCCCAGCACCGCAGCAGGCAGCAAGCTCCCCGAGGACAGCTCCGGCCCGGGGTCCACCTGAGCCACTTGTCTCCGCCCCCACCCTCAGCCCAGGTCCAGGATTGGGTCGTTCCCGGCAGCCCTGCCTCTGATTGGCTGTGCCGGTTTTGCTCGAGCAGGAGATGGGGAGTGAACCCCTTTGCTGCCAATCAGCGGTTGCCGCCTAAACCTCTCCCTGGTACACCGCCCACACACTACACCCTCTTATTGAGCGTGGCGGAACTCTGGGTTTGGAGTCAACCTTTTAGGGGCGGAGGAAAAAAAAGAGCGGATAAAAAATGTCAAGACTCCCCACTGCTGTGGTCCTGGGCTAAGTGCCCGCGCTGCGCCGTGATGACGACATCCGTCTGCGCCTGCGGCCCAGGGTGGTCTACGCCGGGTGGTGTGCGCCTGCGCAGTGGCTCCGAGCGGGTGGTTGCTTGTTGGTTGTTGTAGTAACGGGGGAAGCAGCGGCGGGGAAGGAGGAGGGAGGTAGGCCCAGAGCGCGGTCCCCGCCTTCCCGCCCTGAGCCATGGGAAGATGAGACAGGTAAATCCTTGCGCCCGCGCTCTCCCTTACCGGAGGGAGGTTAGCTCCAGGTTCCGGGCAGGCGCCCTGCACTTCCCTCCAAAAGTCTTGGAGCAGTTGTTCGCTTCCGGGCGCGCCAGGCTGAATCGCTGCGGTAGAGTCTCTGCGTCCTTCCCGAGGGGAGCATCTGCAGACCTACCTGGGACTGGGGTGAGCTGGGCGTGGCTCTGAGGTCCTGTCCCTGTAGGACAAGAACTCCCATTAGGTGAAAGTCTTTTAATCTTCCCAGAGCCGAATCTGTTCTCTCTCTTTAGGGAGCTTAGGAAAGCTGGCATCCCTTCCTCGCCTGCAGGTTTTGTTGATAAGTCAAAGGACTTACCAATATTTTGGGAAGATCTGGAAATCACTTTGGGAATCCCCCCGAAAAGAGTCATTGAGGTCATTTGATATTGCCTGTTTTTCCGCTGAAGATCTGTAGGGATCTTTATCAGGATCGGTCTTTTTTTTTTTTTTTTTTTTTGGTCTTATTTACAATAGTATTGCTAACTATGAGTTTGTGGAACAATAACGTTTCGAAAGATTAACATGACATAGTTATCTCTGAGTAATGGGATTACAGTCATTTAAACATTCTCATTTTCATTACAGTAAGTATAGTTTTATTTCTCATAAAACAACGAACGTGTACTTTTTTCCTATGGAAAATATTTTGTTAAAAATATTGTGTTGGAAAGGTACTGTTAGTGACTAATAGGATGCCTTTGTTTTGTATATGATCCAAATCTTTGTTTTACATTTCTTTTATCCAAAACATTTAGGCATCTGACATTTTCAACCAAAATTTCAATTATGTACTGTGATTTTTATTTGTTGCAATACATTAAAATTTCAGAGGTACTTTGGGGCTCAAAAGTTAGGATTTTGAAGTCAGTACAGTATGTGCATTTCACATAATAAAGCTGTTAATGTTGAGTAAAGTAGTATATACTAACTAGATTTTCCACATCTGTATAGTATATTATATGTATTTTGTGGTATTGAGATTATAGAAAGTTTAGAGTTTCAAATGTGTTTAATGTGTATTTTTAAACAAATTTATGGCAATTAAAATATTTGGAGACAAGGGTATCACATTTCAATTTGTAAAAATCTTTTTAACTCCACTGTGCCACTAAGATGCTTTGTATAATGCCAAACCTTAGCTGGAGAAACTAAGTTTAATAAATACCAAATAGATTTTCGTAAAAAAAAATATATTGTGTTGGAAGTTTTCTAATTTGTTTTTCTATTTCTAATTTTAATGTATATTTAAGGTTCAGATTTTTATGATTTTTACTGAGGGAGAATAATTATTAAAATAATTTGGAAGGGCATTGGTTTTCCCCCGCAGCTATATGACCCTTGATTAGAGGAAATATATTTATTAATATTTTAGTTTAGTTGAATTGGTTTGACTAGAAATGCAATGGCATCTTGCCTGTGTGCTTGTCATAGAGTTTAAATAAGTATTTGCAAGGGTCTTGAAGCTTGAGTTTTAATTTTTATTTTTAACCCTGGTCACATTTGGCCAGCAAGGTATCTATGTTTTAGAGAATCAGCCAACTAACTCAGACTTCCCTAAAAGTAAAATGAGTCTTTCCTTTTGGTTAGTGTTAGATCTAGTGTATTAAGGATACCCAAGAAACAAACTTAATAACAGCTCTTACATAGAGATACTATGTTTGAAAAACATCTTGACTTTTGTGTCATATATGAGGCACTGTGACAGAGGTAAGCTTCTAGAGGTTGGGCACTATTTAGGAATATGGACACTTTCATTATTTGGAAGATCATCAGCAAAATCAAGGAATCGAGAGCTCCATTGTGTTTCAGGTCACTTGACTTTCTTGCAGGAATCTGTGCCACCCAAATTGTGTGATGCAGTGAATCTGCAAGGAGAGGTCAGGCCCCTGTTTGTCGACTGTATGACAGACCCTGAAGGAAATGCCAGTTGTGATGGCCCGGGACCTGGAGGAAACCGAGTCATCCTCAGAGGATGAGGAGGTGGTAAGCCAAGAGTAAGTACCAGCAAGCCTGCTTTTGGTTCTTTGCTGTTAGGATGAAAAGTAGCTTCCTTTTCTCGTATGTGCTTCTACCTTTGATATTATCTGAATCTGGTTTTAGTTTCTATCTACAATCTAATTCAGAATCTTATTGCGCAGTTCCTATCAGCTGTCAGAAGTGAGGTGAGGTTCTGTTTCTGGACTTAAGAGTGAACATCAGCGCTACACGTAAAATGCAGGTAGTAGCTCTTGATGATCTCTTGCTCAGAATTTCCAGTGTAGAAGATTTTGAAATTTTTAGGTATTGGGAAAAAGTAGTTTTCCAAACTCTGTGATGTTGATTATATTACGTTAGTTTTCTCAACAGCCTTTACAATGCCATCAATGATGGTAATGTAAAGAAGTCAGGTTACTATAGCAACTTGGGGCAGAATATTAGAGTTCTATAGCCTGTGCTGTGTACCCAGAACCACAGTTGCTTTCTTGAGTTCTGTTAGATTAAGAGTGTTTTCTTGATTGCTTGACCCTCATAAGTGATACTCATGTATCATTTATCATCATGTATCATGTATTATAAATGATACTCATGAGTGCAGCTATTAAAAATGATAGTAAGGGCTCTCTGTCTCATTTAATCTGAAGAGTAAACTATTGTATCTTGTTTAATCTGAAGATGTTATTGTTTTCACTTTACTAAACTGATTCTTAGAAGTATCAAGAAACTTCCTCAGGGACCTTTAGAGAATGTTAGGTTGAGATTCAAACTTAGCTTTCCTGGGTTTTGAAGGGCTTTGCTATTTTGCATCCTTTAATATTATTACTTGACACAAAATAGAGAATTTGGCTTAAAGTTAATATACGTATTTTATGTATCTGTGATCCTTTTGGATATGTGCATGGTGTGTAACCTGATAAACAGGAATAATGTCTCCCAGGCTATTTTGTAGGGGCGTAATTAGGATCAAATAGAATAATATTTGTGAGATTATTTGGTAAATTATAAAATACCATACAAATGTAAGGCACATTCTTACTGGTTTTAATATTGAATTTATGATAGACTTTTTATATGGTGGAAGATTACTTAGTATCATTTAAATAAAATTATGGAAGCATTAATAAAGATTTGTGGAAAGGCTTCTTGTCATTGTTAGGTCATAGAAAATAATAGTGATTTGACAGTATTATTTGGGTCATTTGCTTTCAGGATAATTAAATGGATAATTCCCTTTGGTTATTTTGCCTAGTCCCATTTTGCTGGCAGTGTGCTGCCTTTTACCATCACATAAAAATTTTTAACTTCTGCTGCAAAGATCAATCTTTCCATTTTCAAGATTGTTCTTTTACTTCATTATAATATTTTATTTATGGGCTTAGCGGTTGTGCACAGATAGTTTGTTGCTTGTATCCATAATTGAGAAATACTAAATTTCTAATAGAACTTAGTGGAAATATAGATGTATTTTAAGATAGCCCTGTCCCCAGTCCAAATTCATGGACTTTTTGCTCTTCTTTCTTTCAAACTCCTACTGTCGATTTTTAGCTATTGTTTCCCAGCTTACATCTTGTCTATCAGACACTTGTTTTATACATTGGGAAGTTTAAATCAATTTTGTTCACATCTGGGGCAGTGGCTTATATTTTAAAAGTTTTGGAAGTTAGAAGATCTTAAGCCATCTAAAGATGTATAGATATGTTTTATTTTAAAAATGTGTTGATTTGGTCCAAAGATGTATATCCATGGTTAGGAATGTGGCTCAGTGGTAGAGTACTTGTCTAGAATGCATATGGCCCTGGGTTCAAGCCCCAGCCCTATTTTTAAAAAGTATATCAGTCCAATGATGTATATCCACGAATATCTGTTAGCTCTTTGTAGAGTCCCAGGCTTTATTAAAGTTTAATGTCTTGCAGTTTTGGACTTCAGGGTTAGAAACTGTCCAAGCAGTCCTTGTTTTGCAAGGCATTATTTCCAATAGTACATGTAAAAAGGCTGTTCTATATTTGGCTCAGGGATCCTAAATATAAATTTTTATGTAGGTATGGAAAGTTTCATATATGAACTTGATGTAAGAGTCTGAAGATGCAGCTTAGGGGTAAGAGTGCTTGCCTAGCACGCACAAAGCTCAGGGTTAACTTGCAGCAACACCTAAAGAAGACAACACAAAAAAAGAACTTGATGTAAAGTTTCTTTAGTCATTGAAAAAATAGTGTAGTAACCCTAATGTGTTATTTTTAAAAACTATTTTTTCAGTACAGGTCTGCAATAAAATGCTATAATACTGAGTACAGCAGCCTAGTAACTTTAATTTCATCATCTTTATGATAGAAATTAGCTTTATATCAGAACACTTATATAGTGAGTGCCACAGGAGTTTAGAGAAGGAGGGCGTCATCATAGGCTGGAGGAGCTGAGGTGTGAGGAGGGTGGCTTAGAAAGACAGGCAGACACAGGGAAGGCGGTGCTGTGAAGAAGGCACAGGAGCGGTGATACCAATGCTGCCCTCCGTCTCCACCTTAGGTAGGCTGCTTCCAGCAGTGAATAGTATGTACTCCTCACGAAACTGCCCCTCCTAAAATCCAAAGACTTCTCAGGCTTTCAATATAGTGAGCTAGAAACTGGCCTACTTTAGTAACTAATCATCTGAGTCCTTTGTTCTTTCATGTCCCAAAAAGCAGATTTTCTTAATATGTAGGAGTCTCTGAAGTGAATGAAAATTTAAAGCCCCAGTGTTCAGTTTTCTCATCATTTTGATTTTTTTTCCTTTAGCACCACCTGGTGGGAGCATACTTTTAATGACAATTTAGCATCTGCCTTAAGTGTTGTTTAGTTGACCATCCTTTTATAATTTATAGGTTGTAAGCAAAGGATTTCTTTGTCAGGGATGTGAATTACCACAGAGAGTATAGAAGGGGCCTTGGCTCTTCACCGCTGTGTATCTCTTCATTGTGTTCCTGCTTCTCGTCAGGCATTTTTGACTATAGCAGCAATTCATTATTTGTAGGTGCTAAGGCACAGTAGTGCCAGCTTGTAGCTAGTGCTAGAATGACAAGGAACTTTGGAGAGTATCCAAAGTTTCTGTCCAAGACTTTGTAGCCTGGGATGCGTGTTCTTTCCTCTAGCCACTGACAGAAAAATAGTGGAAAGCCTGTGTTTGAAAGAGATCATAGGAATCATCTGGCCCCATGGTCACATCTTACAGGTATTGAAGATTAAAAAGCAAGCAACCCACAAAAAAAATCCTTGTTGCTAAAACTGTGCCCTGTTAACACCATTTCTCACAAATGGGTACTACTGCCCAAATTCAAGAAAAGAACAATAATCATCTGTGTTCCATTTCTAATAAACAGGAAATGAAGTAGATATGGGGTTCTTTACTTCACTAAAATGCTGCTGAACTCAAGACTAAAGGCTGCCTGACTTCTCAGAGTAGTAGCCTACCAGCCTCTGCATTCAAAAGGTGGATCTTTTAAAGCTTGGATTAGGAGGATATGTCTTGGCTCTGAGATTTGTAATATGGTTTTTGTTAAGGGGTGTGGTCATGTGAGTTTTTAAGAATGGTATGAATCTTGGCTAAGTGGGCCTTATTCCATTTAAGGAATTAGTGAGTTTAAATTCTCAGAGTTAAGTTCAAGTGTTCAGTATACAGAAGTTCACTGAAATGTCTTTATTCTATAGAGTAGAACAAGCACAGACCCTAGGTTCAAATAAGTGGACACACACTTAGCTGGCTGACACAGACTAGGGACTCAGTTTCATTTAATTTTCTTTTCCTTCCTACCTCCCTACCCTAAGGAGGTTGAAGATTTTCCTAATCTATGAGAAAATATCTAAGATTATTTAAAGTGAGCTTTCCTGAGGATAGGGAAAGAATACAGTTGGAAGTCCCTTTCTGCTCTATGTACCAGAGGAAAATATATATTGTTCCATTTAACATAGGTTTTCTTTAAAATATGTGATTTTGATTGGGATACTTATATTAATTTAAGAGTTTCTAGCTCAGAATCTTAGGATGGGTCATCCAATTGGCTTGAAAAGGAACTATAGTATGTAAAAGGAAAACATATAAATTATTGGGTATATATCAGTTAGGATCATCTATGTATCAAGGAATTAAAGTATCGTTCAAATTGTCCTCAATAAAAAAAAGGGAATTTATTAACTCATTCTTAGGCAAGGCTTGATTCTGCAAGGCCAGCTTCATTACCCGTGATGCCATTTACCTCCTTTTCTCAGTTAGGCTCCCACTGACTTCCTCCTTTGCTAACAGCTCCAGGCTCTCCCCTCCATGTCACAAAGTGACTCTTGCAGTTCCAGACTTTTCATTCTCATCCTAAACCAGCAAGGGAAAGAGGGATTGTTACCTATAGTTGCTACTGAAGAGAAAGGAAGCATTCCTTTCAGAGGATCTCAGCACATGTCTCCTTGTTTCTCATGGGCTCTGATTGGTCTATGTGCCCCCTCCCTAAACCAATCACTTATAACTGAGTGATGGAGTGCCCTGATTGGCTGAAACCAATCAAGGGCCATCCTTGGAGCAGAGATGAGTTAATTTTAATACATGGCTAAGAATGGGAGATGATGGGTGATTTCCCACAGGATATTTGGGCTTCTTATTCTAGAAGGAAAGGGAAAGTTGCTAAGAAACCATAATAATTTACTTTAACAGTTAATTCAGATTTTGAGCTGTAAATTAACAAGGACTTTTTTTTTTTATGGTTGTAGGGATCATCCATGTATCATGTGGACTGGAGGCTGCAGGAGAATTCCAGTTTTGGTATTCCACGCTGAGGCCATTCTGACCAAGGACAATAATATCCGAGTAATTGGAGGTAGGTGTTAATCTCTCCAACAGAGGACAGAGCTGGGTGTGACCCTGACAGTTTTGTCTGGAAAAATTAATATGACATAATGAAATGGTTTTGTCCATAGGAAAAGATTTTTTTACTTGAAAGAATGTTTATAATTTCTTAAGCTGTTTTCTGCAGATGTTTTTCTTTTGAATTTTCTCAGAATTACACATACATGTTTTGTTTTTAAATCGTGATAAATTACATGTGACGAAATTTACCATTTTAACCATTTTGGAGTGTATACTTTATTGATACTTGGTGTATTCACAGTGTGCAACCATGACCACTATCTAGTCTTAAGACATTTTCCATATCCCAAAAGTAGATCCTGTACCCATTAAGCAGTCACCCCAATCCCCTTATCCCACCGGTCCCTAGCAGCTACTAATCTGCTGTCTCTGTGGATTTGCCTACTCTGGCAACTTTGCTTCCCTTTTGTGTCCAGGTTCTTTCACATAGCGTGTTTTCAAAGTCCATCCATGTTGGAGCATGTGTTTGTGTCCTTGTCTTTTTAAAGCTGGATAATATTCCCTGAATTCACACACAACCTTCCTGCTTGCCTGTCCATCAGTTGATAGACATGTGTAGTGTTTCCACTTTTTGGCTGTTGTGAATACTGCTGCTGTGAAGGTTGGTGGGCAAATTTTTGCTTTGTTTTCCTTTCTTTTGAATATTACCCAGGAATGGAATTGTGACGTAATTCTGTTTAACTAAGGAACTGTCCAACTGTTTGCCCTAGGAGATGCATCATTTTACATTTCCACCAGCAATGGATATGGATTCCAACTTCTCCATGGCCTCAGTAACATTTGTTATTTTTTGCTTTATAGGTTGTAAAGTGGTACCTCATTGTGGATTTGTTTGGCCTTTCCCTAATAATGAATGACTTGAGTGTTGTCATGTGCTTGTTGGCTATTTGTATATCTTTGGAGAAATGTCTGCTCACAGTCTTTTTAAATTGAGTTGTCTTTTTTTATTGTTGAGTTGTTAGAATTCTTTATATATTCTGGATATTAAATCCTTATCAGATACATGATTTTCTTATTTTGTGAATTGTTTTTTATGCTCTGTATTCTGTGGGTTATTTTTCTGAGAGCAAAAGCTTTTATTTTTGATGATATCCAGTTTATCTATTTTCTTCCTTTGTTTCTTATGTGGTTGATGTCATATTTGAAGCCATTGCCTAAGCCAAAGTAGTGATTCTTTACATATTTTTCTAAGAGTTTAATAGTTTAAGGCCTTATATTTAGAGTTAAATAGTCTTGTTTTGTTTTTGTTTTTTGAGACAGGGTCTTGCTCTGTATTTCAGGCTGGCCTTGAACTCACTGTGTATCCCAGGCTACCCTTGAACTCAGGATAATCCCCCTCCTTCAGCTTCCAAATGCTCGGGTTCCAGGTGTGTGCCACTACACCAGTGAGCTAAATAGTCTTGATTCATTTTGAATTAATTTTCTTATATAATGTTAGGTAAAATTCCACCTTCATTATTTTGCATGTGGAGATGCAGTTATCCCAACACAGTTAGTTGCAGATGCAGTTCTTTCCCTATTGAATGGTCTTGGTATTACCGTCAAATCAGTTGACCATAGATTTGTGTACTCTTTTAATATGCCACTGATCTGTTCATTTATTCTTACAGTAATTCCATACAGTTTTGATTAGTACATCTTTGTATTAAGTTTTGAAATAGGGAAGTAGGGATCCTCTAACACTGCCCCTTTTCAAGATGGTTTTGGCTGTTCAGGATCCTTCACAATTCCGTATAAATTTTAGGGTGAATTTTTCCATCTCTGCAAATTGGCTGTTGGAATGTTGATAGAGAATGCACTGAATCTGTGTGTCACTGAGCAGTGCTCTGAGACCTGACCAGCTGTTTTCAGAGGTTATAATGGTGCAGATCAGAACCATCATGTGGTATGATGGAAAGAGTCCATACTTGGGTTCTCAGTCATTGGTTCATATCTCAGCTTTGGCATTTCCTAACAGTGAGTCCTGGGCAAATCATTTAAACTCTATTACCCAGTTTTATTACTAGTTAGATGGGGATACTATCTGTCTTACAGGCATTGTGAGGATCAAATATGATTCCTTAATGTATGGCACATAGTAGACACTCAAAACTTGTGCTGTTTACTCACTTGTTGAATAGGATCCACTCTACTTTTGAATGACTTTAAGATCTATCATCATCACCCCATAATAAGCCAGGAGCTCAGAGAACTGTCAGCCTTCTTTCGGGATTTGATTTTTACATCCTCCCCACTGGTCCTTGTGTTTAATCCCCTCAGCAAGTTGCTAGGTTACTACTTAAAGGAACATGGTTCTTTCATGTGCTTTGAAGCCTAATTGAAGACTGCTGAGAAACTCCCACTAAATGTGACTGGAGCCAGAATGTCAGAGGTGGGAAAGAAGGAAATAAGACCCACAAAACATGCTTGTTTTATTCTGCGTGTCACATAAAATAATCTGTATATCCCATGGCAATAAACAGAACCTTCATTTTTAGATTATCCACCTTTTATTGGAAAATAATATCCGTCAATATTGTCATTCCACTTTTCAAGCAATTACTGTTTTCTAGAACTTTAAAGTCTTTGTTTACTTTTTTCTTCACAGAGTCCCATGGTGTAAAAGCCACTAAACTTTTCTTAAATTCTGTCTTTAACATTTTCTCAATTTTCCCCAGTTCTTTGAGGTTTAGTAATTCTTCATCTTTTATGCAAAGAACAGTTTGAATGATTTTTGCTAATTACTGCCTCAGTTTTCTGAACTATTAAATATTCTTGGTCTGTAACACTTTCTTTTGAACCTTAAATAGCTGACATGGACAGAAATCTGATCCTAAGCCTGTGGTTAAATCCCCTTGAGAAGTTATCTGGGACACTGGTTATCTTCTGTTGATCTCTGTGTTAGAGGCCCATCTTGTTTTTTTCTGTTTATCTATTGAATATTTCTTGAGTCTACTGTTAATAATTTGTTATAATATGGTTTCTCATACTTGATTTGTGATATATTCTGGGAATATGGCTTTTTCTTCAATACAACCTTGTTTTTCCCCCCCAAGTTTTATGTATTTTAAACATGTAAATGGGATTGTATTTTAGAGCCAACAGAGCTGTTTTTTAACTTAAAGTTAACTTTTCATGGAATGAAGCATCTTTTATAATTTGCCTTTAAATTTGTCCATTTAATAAGTTTGTATTTTTATAGGCTAGCAATAGAAATATGATCCCAGCTATGTAGAAAGGTGAAATTAATTTTAATAATATATTTTACTTAACCACTATATCCAGAATTACCATTTCTATATTTTCTCAATATTAAAAAATCATTAGTAGGATATTTTATATCCATATGTATTTTACACTTATAGACATCTCAATCTGATGTGAATTTCCATTGGAAATATTTGATCTGTATTTAGATTTCATAGACATTATTTTTGAAATATCATTTAGTCAAGTTGTTTCAAATATGTTTTCTAATAACTAATTTGTTTTTTTGTTTTTTCAATGCTGGATATCAAACCCGGGGGTGTGTGCATGCTAATCATGTGCTCTACCACTGAATACACCCCCCAACCCCTGTTTTCTAATAACTTAAACAAGTATCAGTTTTTAAATTTAAATTTTAATTAACTGAAGTTAAATAAAGTTTAAAATTCTGGTCCTTTGTCATAGCAGTCACATTTCAAGCATTCATTCATTGTGTGTGGCCACCAACCACTGTACTGGACAACAGAGGTAATTTTCTGATCCTAGGGTACAGCTGCACCGCATTGCCATTGAAAGAGTCATTCCTGTATTTTAAAAGCCAAAGGTGTCAGTTTGGTTTCCTTAGGGACCTTCGCTACTCCCTGGGTAGTTCCCTGCTGACAGTGGCTCGTTTTCATTTACTTCGCTGCAGCCTATCCTGGAGCTTGCCAAGGGTCCTGGCACTTCAGGTTGCCTCCTGGAGTACATGAGTGGTGGGGGAAGAGGAAATTCCAGTCTCGTGCTGGAATTGACTCCATAATTTTTTCAGAGGCTCAGAAATAAGATACTTGGCAGTTTGCTAGTAATTAAGAAGGGCCCTGCCCTGATGCTTTATTTGTGTGTGTGTGTGTGTGTGTGTGTGTGTGTGTGTGTGTGTTCACGTCTGTTCTTTCTTGGGCATTTGGGTAGGTTCAGTTTGCAGTTGCGTTTCTCTAGTTGACTCCTTTTTTTTCTTTTTAGTTGACTCTTGCCATGGGAGAAAAAGCCCCAGTGTATTTGTCAGAGTTCTCCAGAGACACAGAGCTAATAGAATACAGCAGGAGGCAGTAAAGGGGCGGGGGATGGGACATTGGAAGAGATTTAGTGTAGGGTATTGGCACACACAATTATGAAAGCTGAAAAGCCCTGTAATCTGCTGTCTGCAAGCTGGAGACCCAGGAAAACTGGGGTTATTGTTTGAAGGCCCTAGAGCCAGGAGACAATGGAATGGATCCCAGTGAGTCTGAAGGCCTGAGACTCAAGAGTGCCGAGGGCAGAAATCTTCATCTCAGCTCAACAGTCAGGTGGGGACAGAGCAAATTCAGCCACCTTCATGTTCTGTTCAAACCCTCAGTGGATTGGCACTGCCCACCCATGTTGGGGAGGGTAATCTGCTTTACTCAGCCCACAAATTCAAATGCTAATCTCTCTGGAGGTACCCTCACAGACATGCCCAGAATTAATGTTTAATCACATATCTGGACATCCTGTGACCCAGTCAAGTTGACATATAAAATGAACTATCATAGTATGGTCGCCAGGCTTTTCAAAAGAAGCTCAGGAAGCTAGATTTTTGTATGGATTCTTTCAGTTTTTAAAGGCTAGCAATTAATTACTAATACAGTTTTACTTAAAAACACACAAGTGTCAAACAGGTCCTATCTGCAGGGAAGGTTTGGCTTAGATCACTAATTTATAACCTCTGGCCTAAGATACAATATTGCTAAGCAGCATTGTTGGACCCGGGCTATCGGACACAGAATTTGAATGTGAGTTAAAAATCCTCAGCAAAGATGGTTGCTTTATACCATTCTACTCATTTCACTTTTCTTACATTCTCTTTTTGAAACATGCAGTGTATCAGAATTGGGTCACAGTTAGGTCATGTGGGTCAGAAGTGGTCAGTCACTGCTTAGTACTGAGGAACCATAGGAAACAGGACTGCCGCTGAGCATGGTACACGTCGCAGTTTTCTTGATTATTAGGAGGAGAAAGAATATTAATGGCATTTAATTTTTTCGTTATACAACTATTTTACTATATGTTTACTATTTCACTATGTAAAAACAACTTTAACTATGTAGCCACAACTTTTTCTGAAGCTTCCTATGTATTAACTGACTGAGTGTTCACAATTTTTTTATAAGGTGATTTGAGCATTAGAGAAATTATCTCACTGAAGATTACAGGGAGGAATTGGTAGAACCAGGATTTGAGGCTGGCAGTTTGGCTCCAGGGGCTTTGCTTTCTCTTCTTACTCTCTCTACTCTCCCAGTTCTCAGGTCAGCACTGTCTTCCCACTCGCCTTCCTGGCTGCCTCCCCATGGCCTGGCCTGAGGCCTGCACTGGAGACCAAGCACAGAGTTGGGTGCTTCCCTTGCCTCCAGCAGGAACTCTAGCTGATAGTGCAGCGGCTTTCGCATGTGTGAAAATGGAGACAGTTAAATTCTACAAGCAAGAAACAAGACAATAAAACGACTTAGCTGTAAAAGTATGCTGACTTTTATGAAACTAGAAGGCTGGCTTCAAGGGTGAAGCCTTAAGCCCAAGAGGACAGACCTGTGAATTACAGAGCACTGTTCTGTGGTCTTAAAACCTAGTGGAGTTTGCTTGGCTAGATTTTGAAATCCAAATGTATGACTCCTATTTTTCCTTTATTTCTTTTCCATTTTAAACCCAAGATATCTGTAGCCAGTGTTCTATTTGAACTACCATTATATTTTGGGAACAAATAACTTGTTGGTCTACAGACACAGAGCAGGTTTTTCCCAGGGTAAATCATACTTACGCTAGCTTTAGACGATGAGATTTGGGCGTGGTTTTTTATTGTTGTTTGTTTTGGTACTGGGAGTTGAACTCGAGGCCTTTGCTCTGAGTTACATCCTTACCCTACTTTTTAGTTTTTATTTTGAGATACGGTCTTGCTAAGTTTCGCAGGCTGAGTTTGGACTTGCAGTCTTACTGTATCAACCTCCCAGAGTGCTGGGATCACAGGTGTGTGCCTCTGTACCCAGCAAGATTTGGGAGTTTTGAGCTGGTAGATTTAGATTATTTATTTATTTATTTATTTATTTATGGTACCAGGGATTGAACTCGGGACCTTGTGCTTGTGAGGCAGGTGGTGGAACCACTGAGCTAAATCCCTGACCCTAGATATTTTAGACTTAGACTTTGGGTTGAGTGTATCTTGTGTGTGAGAGGGGAGTGGATCTTTGGGGTCTTGAATGTGGACCATGGTAAGCTCCCTAATATGTTCACATACTAATCTTTGAAGCTTGTGAATACATCACCTTACATGGCAAAGAGGGATTAAAGTTGCTACCCAGATGTCTTTGAGATAAGGAGATTATCCTGGGTTACCCAGGTATGTCCAACATAATCACAAAAGCCCTCCAAATAGAATAAGGAGGTAGAAGAGGCCAGAGTGATACAATGTGAGAAAAACTAGACCTGCTACTATTTCATTTGAAAATAAAAGAAGGGACCATAAGCCACAAACTGTGGCCACTAGAACCTGGAGAAAGGACACAGACCTTATCCAGAGCCTACAGAAAGGAATATAGCCCTGTTAATACTTTGATTTTAGCCTGGTGAGAGATCAGTGTTAGCCTTCTGACCTCCAGAACTATAGTATGACAAATGTCTGTTTAAGCTGTGGAATTTCTGTGAATAGTAGCAGAAGAAGACAAGTATACCTTCTCACCTTCTTATCAGTGTGTCCTCATGGACTCTTTTATTAGTGGATTCTAAGTCTTCCTCTCACTATTTCCTCTAAGAGGCTGATGCAGGCTTGAAAGTCCAAGCTTAGCCTGGGCAGCCTACTGAGACCCTGTCTCAAGCATAAATTATGTTCAGACTGTCTCAAATTTGGCCATTTGTGACATGTTCCCAATCAGTTTTGAGGACTTCCCTCTGTTGGGCATAGCACGATGTTCCAGACCTACCTAGTGCTTTGCCTCTCCCTCTTGGAATCAGAACACATATTCCCAAGCAGTGCCCCGTGCTGACATTCTTTTCTGCACCGAAGTAAACACATAGGAGTCCATGCTGTTTCTCTTATAACCATATTGCAGAGGCGACATATGAGTGATGGATCATTGGGAAAACCCTATAACTGGGCTTTAGAAGCTTGCCACAAGAAGCACATAGTGTACGGAATGTCCAGCTAGTTTGTTCTAGGCTTTCTGTATCTACTTCACACAGAGTCCTTGCCAGGCCTGGGCAAGGAGCAGCAGTGATTTATGAGTATTTTCACATAAATTGATAGAAGGAGATGGCTGTCTTCAAATGATTGTTTTTGATAGTGGAGGCTAAATATTTTCCTAGAATCTGTCTGTAAGGTCTGTACTGTACTTATTCAGAAATTTTTCTATATCCAATCTTTGTAAAAAATTGTTCTGTAGGTCTCACTTTTTAGTCCACGCTGGCTTCAGACACTCAGCGATCCTCCTGTGTCAGCCTCCCGAGTTCTGGGATCACAGGCGTGCGCCACCACACCCAGTGTTCTGTAGAATTCTTAACCAATTTTCTCAGTGTGAAGTGGCACATAGAGATTGAACTTAATGGTCCACAGTAAATAGTCATCTTTGGGGCTAGATCAAGATTTTAGACTGCTCTCCCAGACAGGCTTATAGGCACAAGTGCCTACAGGGGCCTGGCAGGACGTGTGCATGGCAGAGGCAGGCTTGGCACTGGCTGACCTGGACAGTGTGGGCCTGTCCTTCAGGGGACAGTTGCAGGTCTCCAGGTGACTCTTACATTGGAGAGAAGAGAGCCCAAGGTTGCCAGATTTTTCAAGGAAAGCCCCCAAATTCAGATTTTTCTGTAAATTCTTCCAATTTCAAAAGGTTAACAATGAATTTAGTTTTATTTTTTGGAGCACTGCAAAGAGTGAAGAAGCCGGGTCTGCTGGCTGGATTTGGCCTGCAGCCTCCAACATCCTGGTAATGAGTGTGATCAGACACAGGACTGTCTAGAGCAGGGTTCTTGGCCTTTTGGGTTCAGTGGATCTCCTTGGCAGTGTAGGGAAGCCTGCAGGCTCTTCTCAGTAGAATGTCTTTAAGGGAATTAAAAATAAAACCAACCAGAAATGACTACGAAGGAAATCAATTGTATTGAAATACAGTAATTAAAATATTAAAAATTATATACTTTATTGTGCTTTATCACTGCATTAAATTATACAGTATAGCAGAAAGGTTGTTAACTACCGTAACTTACAAATACTGTAAGAATGGTATTTTGAAGGAATTGTTACAATTGTGATGTGGTATTAAAATACCTGATATCTGTTGGTAGCAACATCACAGATACTATTACTACTACCTGCTTTGTTGTCCGCATTCCTCTTTAAAGGCATTGTTAAAATTTTAACTAGAAATTAGTGAAAGCAAAGATGTAATTTTTTTTCTGCTCTCCTATGTTTAGTGAACCTCCTGAGTCTCAGATATTTGGACTCTTGGTCCCAATTAACATAGGTGTTTTTGTATTGCGGTACCTGGAATTGAACCCAGGGCTTTCTGCACGACGGGTAAGCACTGTAACACTGAGCTATACTCCCAGCCCTTGTTAGAGGAGTTTTAAGGTGGCAGTGTAATGTTACTGAGTATAATGAAGCAAGCCAGCATCTTAGATTTTACTTAGTTTTTATAGTTAACTTGCAGGTTAATAAACTTGATTCTATGTTTTTCTTTAGAACGTTATCATTTGTCTTATAAGATTGTGCGAACGGACAGTCGCCTGGTGCGCAACATTCTGACAGCCCATGGATTTCATGAAGTAAGCTCGTTTTTACTACCTCACCTGACCTATTCAAAAGCTGAAAATCCTAGCCACTTTGCTAGCTGCCAGCTCTAGAAAGTACATGGGACCAGTGTTTACTGATGATGCAGAACTTGGATTGAATTTGTTAGTGCCTTTACCAGTGTCTCCCTGCAGTAGAAGGACAGCATTTCCACAGGGCTTTTGTTTTTTCTCTTGCTATGTTCTTGGGCTTGTGCTAGATGCTGAGTTGCTCATAAGGAGTTGTCTGATACCCAATGAAGGTTCTTAGATTGTGAGCAATAGAAGTGGACTTTACATAACTTACACCAAAAGAGATTTGGACGAAAAGTGTGCAGAAGGTGGCTAGCAGAATTAGAGAAAAAGCTAGGCAGTCAGGAGGAGAGAGACCATGGTAGCCTTGGGGTGTAGGATCAATAATCTTCAAGATCATGTCCTCCAGGCACTGCCATGGATGTAACTGGACTCCATTCATTGTCTTGTGCCTTTCTCGGGAAATAGAATGACTGGATTAGCTTGAGTCACTGATTTGCTCCTTGGAGGAGAGGGTGTATGGATGATTGACATATTCTTTAAAACATAGGAGTAAAGGCCAGTGTGGTGGCATATGTCTGTAGTTCTAGCACTCAGGAGGCTGAGGCAGGAGGATAGCTGCGAGTTTGAGGCCAGCCTGCGCTACAGAGTGAGTTCAAGGCCAGCCGGAACTACATAGCAAGAACCTTGTCTGAATTACATACATACATACATGTCAATAAGTCATTCCCTTAATGAAAATTGGGAAAATTAGGATATTGTCATAAAAGGACAGGCAAAAATGCAGAACAGACCTCCGCTACACATACTTTGAGACCACTGATGTAAGTTTGGTTGCTGGCTCCATATTCTAGGTTGAGATCTGTAGGAGACATTTGGGTGACTTTCTGATACCTTTTTATATTCAGTCTTTGCTCTTTTATTATCTCTAGTGCTTCTTATGGTCTTACCACATTGTAAGCATAATTGTTGAATGAATGGACAGATGAATTCTTTTTTTTTTCCTATTAAGTTTATTGGTACATTTTAGGTATAAAATACAGTTATATTCATCATTGGGATCTTGTACCTTTACGTGATGTATGTTGGTTCTTATTTTTTCCCTTTCCTCTGCCCTCCCTTCACCCCCTCCACCCTTCCCTATTTGCAAAGACTTTGTTTCTGTTTTTTTCCTTTTCTCATATTTTTTCCTTTCCCTTCTTTCCTTTCCCCTACCCATCCCACTTCCCCTGCTCCTTTAGCTCTTTCCTTCCTATTATGCAATAACAGTTATACATTGTTTTAATTACAATATCAAACTTTAGAGGACATTACCACAGATTTTACAAAATTTAAAAGGATATAAAAGCATATTACAAAAATCTTTTTTGAAATAAATTTGACAACTTCTAAGAAGTACCTTGGAAGACAAATTAATGAAACTAACTCTGGAGGAAATATAAAATTTGAATAGCACCTATTAAAGAAAGTATATTCCTAGCTTGAAAACCTACCTATATGACAACAACAGGCTCGTATACATTTTAACTGATAAATTATATCAAACATTTAAGGCAGAAAAAAGGAACACTTCTCCCCTCATTTTAGGAAATCAACATTGTGCTAATACTAAAACTGGATAAAGATAGTAGAAGAAAATATATGAACATAGAAATTGGTTTAACAAAACAAACTATTAGAAGTCAGATCTGTCACTATGTATAGAAAGTGGTTTTATTATAGGGATGGCAGTGTTGGTTCAGCATTGGAAGATCCACCCCCAAGAGTCATCATTTTAACAGAGGAAAGGAAAATGCCATATGATCCTGTCAGTAGTTGCAGAAGAAGTATTGGACAAAATTCTACAGCTGTTCATGGTAAAAGCTATCAGGAGACTAGAAGTAGAACAGAACCTTCTCAGCAGATAAGACATGTACTTCATACTTTCAGCAAAAATGCCTTGTGTGAATGGAAAAGATATGATACTTTCTCTGGACAGATGAATTCTAATGAACAAATATAAATCTGAATTGCTTTGTTACTGTAAGGTTTCAGTTCTGATTAATACTTTCTACCTAGTATCTGCAAAGATAGAAGGTCTAAGAAAGTAGTTTTGAGATTGAGGCCTAATCTTGTACTTTGATAAGCAAGAGTATTGAGAAACATCATCAACTTTTAAAGAAGGGTGGTGAATTTGTTTTATTTTTTGCAATTTGGGGTAGGGGGTTAAATCCAAGGCCTTCACACTGAGGTGCATTCCCAGTCCTTTTTAAAAAAATTTTATTTTGAGACATGGTATCAGTTTCCCGGGCTGGGTTTGAACTTGGAATCTTCTGCCTCAGCCTCCCAGGGTGCTTGGATAACAGGTGTACACTACCATGCCTGGCTTATTTTTTATTTTGAGATTGCATCTTCCTAAGTTGCCCAGGCTGTGGGATCCTCTGGCTTCAGCCTCCTGAGTATCTGTGATTAGTGGTGTGTGCCATCATGCTTGGCACCTCTCTTGTTCTTTAAATGTGATTGTCGTGTTCTGTGATAGTTGCTTTTGTCTTACCAGGCTAACATACTAATTGGGCCACCCCTGTGAGTTCTCTGTGGATGAAAAATGGCTGTGACCCTCTGTCTGCCTGCCATTGCTCCTCCTGGAGAGAGCCTGTCTCTGATGGTTTTTCACATTCCTTGTTTCTGTCTGCCCTCAGGTTCACCCAAGCAGCACTGACTATAACCTGATGTGGACAGGATCCCACCTGAAGCCATTTTTACTACGCACCCTCTCTGAAGCACAGAAGGTTAATCACTTTCCCAGGTAATGCCCTGTAGCTGCTTTGCTACAGGTAAAGATAGCTGAGGCTGGACTATATAGCCAGCAGCTAATTAATGTTTTTCGCGAGGATCTGACACAGGTCAGTAGAGCAAAGCAGATGGAGGTGTTCATGTCCCTGGGTGCTTATGGATATTTTTCTAGGCTATAGAGGCATGGATAATTTTAAAGAGTTTCGGTTCTTGTTCCTAAAATTGAGCTTCTTAAGAGCATCTGTTGTGGATGGGTTCTCCCCCTTCCTTTTCAGTTACTGTTTTTCCTCTTTATAAAAGAATAATTCACCTGGTACGTTAACATGATATGTTGTCTTTAGATGAAGAATTTCCAGGGTTCCAAACTAAAGGACAAAGAAAATTTAGAGAAACCCAGTATATAAAGAGCAAGATAAAAGATGGTAGAAAGTAGGGAGATAAATCTTTTTCAAATGGGAAGAGAACCAAGAGACAGAGGGAGAGGAGAAGGGTATGAAAAAAAGATTTTAAATGTGTTATGTACATGCACTAACCCCCATCAAGAGTGTGACCATTATGTACTGCAAACATGCAAACAAAAAACAAAAATTGGGAAAAAAGAAAAAGAGAGAAAGGATGATCTGGAACAGCAAAATAAGACAAAACAGAAACATTCTGAGTTTTTATGATGAAGCTGTCTAGATGTGACTTGAGAAACAGCCTGACAAAAATAATTCTGTGTTAATTACAAGTGAAGATGCAAATTGACTGACAAATTCAGATACTGAAATACTAAAATTTCTGAGAAGTTTCTTAATTTGTTTTTAGGGGGGAAATTTTTTCATATTTGAAGAAAAAACTATCCAAGCAAATAGAACTTATGGTTACCTAGTCCTTATATATTGGCCTAAAACCAGTGCACTAATTGCAAAACTTGCAATTAATCATATGTCCCTCCTGTACAGGGCCCAAGACAGACCTTAACTTTAGATTAAATGATCTTGCTATAGTAACGTCTCGGGTAAAGATCCCCTTTGAAAATTTAATTATACCTTTCCTTGTATTTGGAAAGCTTTCAGATACTATTTCTCTAAATAGGTTTTTTATGTCATTTGTACTGTCTTCTGATTTTCAGTAATTCCAGTTAATCTTAGATTAGTCTTTTTTGTGTCATCTAGCAACTGTTGGATCTATTTTTCATGTTCTCTTACTGTTTTTAAGATATCTCTGAATAATTGGTCTCTGACAAGCAGCCCTGTCTTCTAGTTCTGATGCTTTGTCCTTATACTGGTTGCTTCTTGTGCCCATACTTTGAGTAGACGTTTTAATCTCCTGGATTTTCATTTTTATGGACTCTTAATTAACCTTTTTATGGACTCTTAATTCTTTGTTAAACTGGTCATTCATGTTTTGTATTGTTTTGTTTCGCTCAGCTAGCTATTTAGTAGTGTCTTCTATAAACTTGCTGATCATTTTGTTTATTATGTTCATTATTTATCATATCTTCTTTGAGCTCACTTAACACCTTAGTGATCTGTGTTTTTAATCTCCTTTGTTACCCTTTCAAATAATTTGGGTGTGTGACTTTTGATTACTTCCCCATTGATTAGCTTTGGGGGGATTGGGAGTTTTTGGAGGCATTTTGTTGCCTTATCTTCTCTTGTTTTTATTTACTTACTTATTTTTGGCTTCAGTTTATGGGTGCTTGTAGTGAAAAGACTTTGTTGCTAGTATGGAGATCTCTTTAGTGTCTGCTTTTCAGTGGCTAAATATAGGCCACTGGGTATAGCTAACTATATGCCTTTGCCTGTGTCCCAAGATCCAACCAATTCTGTTAATTTGGGAGGGAAGGATGCATTGTAATTGGGTCAGGATCTGGTTCCCTGGGAAGGGAACCATAGTATTGTTAATAACATAAAGGTAGTCTGGATATTGGCATACAGAGAAAACCTTTTATTAGCAACAAATATGCCCCTGGCAATAGCAAGTAAATGAGTGACAATAATGGTGTGAAAGACAAAACGGATACCGTAAGAACCAATATTGGGCCAGGCGTGTTGGTGCATGCCTATAATCCCAGCATTCAGGAGGCTGAAGCAGGATTGCAACAAGTTCAAGGCTCTAGCCTAAACCACATAGTAAGACCTGTCTCAAAAAACAAAAACACAAGGGCTGGGGATTTAACTCAGTGGTTCTGCCACCTGCCTCACAAGCGCAAGGTCCTGAGTTCAATCCCAGGTACCAAAAAAACCCAAAAGCGCTGAACAAAAAATGAACCAATGCTGTACCACCCTTAACCATAGAAAACACATATATAATTACAGCATAAACACTAAGACAAACCTAATGTTAACATATAGTAAACATCTACTAAATGTGACAACTGTGTCTCCACTAACTATAGAAGTGAATTCAACAGTAATAACATAGAGGCAACTATCTAAAGATTAATAGAGCTTAATGTTTATACCAGTAAAAATAGAGGGGGTGGTGAACAGGAGAATGAAAGAAGAAAAATTTGAAAAATTAAGCAATGGAAGATGAGGAGGAAAGAAAAGTGAGATAAAGGATCCTTTTTGGGTAAAGGTATCAGGAAAGAACAAAGAAGAAAAAAAGAGGAACAAAAAAGGAAAAATTAAAAGGAAAAGAGAAAAATTAGAATTACAGCAGACTTACAGCAGACTTCTCAACACAAACCCTTAAGTCAAGGAGAGCTTGGATTGAAGTATTTCAGCCCCTAAAAGAAAACAACGTCCAACCCAGATTGATGTATCCTGCAAAATTATCTTCCAAAATTGATGAAGAAATAAGATACTTCAGTGATAAAGAACACCTGGGCCGGGGATTTAGCTCAGTGGTTTCACCGCCTGCTGGGCAAGTGCAAGGACCCGAGTTCGATCCCTGGTACCAAAAAAAAGAACACACGAAGAAATTCATGACCACCACACCATCACTCCAGAAAGTTCTGAAGGATATTCTATGAAAACACAAGGACAACAATTCTATGAATCCCAGCAGAATGAATCCACCAGACAAGGCAAGCAATTAAACAGAATGGAAAGAAAGGGAACCAACAACAGGAAAATAATATGACAAGGATAAGTCAATACATAACCATCAGTGTGAACAGTCTCAACTGCCCAATCAAAAGAAACAGATTAGGGCAGAATGGATCAAGAAATAAGATCCAACAATATGCTGCACACAAGAAGCACATTTTAATCAAAGAGATTCATAGACTGAAAGTCAAAGGATAGAAAACAATACTCCATGCAACAGGAACCTGGAAAAAACCAGGAGTACCTATTCTGTTTGCATACAAAGTGGATTTCAAGCCAAGACTGATCAGAAGAGACAAAGAAGGTCACTACATACTTGTTAAGGGAACAATCCAAGAGAAAGAGGTAACAACCATAAATATATATGCACCAAACACCAGTGCACCCAACTATAAAATAAGCATTAATGGATATGAAAAATCAGATAAACACTAATACAGTTATGATGGGAGACCTCAGTACCCCACTGTCGCAAATAGATCAACTAGATGAAAAATCAACAAAGAAATATCAGAGCTGAAGCAAGCCTTTGAACAAATGGATTTAGTAGATGTCTACAGTGTTCCATTCCACAACAAAAGAATACACATTCTTTTCAGCGGCACATAAGACCTTCTCCAAAATAAACCTCATATTTGCTCATAGAACATGCTTACATAAAGGCAAAGGAATTTCAGTTATGCACATTATCAGATCATAGTGCAATGAAATTGGAAATCAGTGGCAGAAGAAACTACAAAAACTATATAAACACATGGAAATTAAATTATACCCTCCTGAACAACCAATGGGTCATAGATGAAATTAAAGAGGAAATTACATAGTTTCTACAATTAAAAACTATAATGCCAGTACGACATACTGGAACTTACAGGATGCAATACAAGCAGTCCTCTGAGGGAAATTTATAGTGATGAAGTCCCACTTCAGAAAAACAGAGCAAGCTCAAATAAATAACCTAATGTTGAACCTCAAGGTTCTAGAAAAAAAAGAGCAAGCTAAACCCAAAGCACATATGAGGGAGGAAATTATAATAATCAGAGCAGAAATTAATGCAACTGAGACTAAGAAAGCAATACAAAGAATCAATGAATTGAAGAGTTTGTTCTTCGAAAGATTAAATAAAATTGATAAACCCTAGGCCAATCTTATCCAAAAAAGGAAAGAAAAGACCCAAATCCATTAGGAATAAAAAGGGCAGAATCACAACAGATCCTGCAGAAATCCAGAAGATCATTAATATCTACTTGGAGAACCTGTACTCTTAATAAGATGGGAAACTCAGAAGAAATGGACATATTCCTAGATTCATATGAATTACCAAAGCTGAATCAAGAAGATACAAAAATTCTAAATATCCCAATATCAGTCAATGAAATTGGAGAAGTAATTAAAAAAAAAAACTACCAACAAAGAAATGCCCAGGTCCTGACAGATTTGCTGCTGAATTCTACAAGAACTTTAGGGAAGGTCTAATCCCACTTCTCTTCAAACTCTAATGAAATTGAAAGGGAAGCAATGTTCCCCCAAAGTCATTTCTGGAAGCAAAGATTACTTTGATACCAAAACCAGAGAAGGACCTAACCAAAAAAGAGAACTACAGGCCAATCTCTTTAATGAACGTAAATGTAAAAATCCTCAATAAGATACTGACAAACAGAATGCAGCAAATCATCAAGAAGATTATACACCACAACCAAGTAGGAGTTATCCCAGGGGTGCAGGGATGGTTCAACATACACAAATCAATAAATGTAATATATCATATTAACAGAGCCAAGGACAAAAACCACATGATTATCTCAGACACAGAAAAAGCTTTTGACAAAGCACAACACCATTTATGATTAAAAAAAAACTCTACAGAAAATTGGAATAGAAGGTCTTTATCAAAGTCAGATAAAAGGCATCTGTGACAAACCAACAACCAACATCATACTAAATGGTCAAAAACTGAAACCTTTCACTCTAAAAT